TAAATGTGTCTCAAACTCTTCTTCGCTCAGGACTCGTCCCGGCTCAAGTAAATACTTGATTGCTTTGTAGCAACTGTCTACAATCGACAATGACATCCAATTGTAGATGAAATAATGACTACGAACGATAATAAAACATAGGCGGAACTAGAAGGGACCATAGGAGTGCCTAACAACCTTCCTCCCCCCACCACCAGAAATTCACTTAGCCCCTACCAGGGCCGAATTCACCTACTTGCCGCCCATGAGCCGCCTATATTTTGCCGATCCCTTCTCATTCGTTTTGAAACTCGATAAAAACCATTAAATGAACGTGCCAGCGGGGGAGGGGTGCATAAGACGCATTTACTCGTGTTTGACACATTTTTTGGGAAAGCCCTGTCAACACTACTAGGAAAAGTTCACGGAACTTTGCGCGAAAGTTAAGTTCCGTAACCTATCTCTGTGTGGACAAGGCCTTCGATCCATTCATAAGAAATGAACGAAAAAATTATGGAAGAACAAACATGAATGTGGTTCAATGATTTTAACTTCCGCCGCCGCGCGCCGCGCAGACCGCACCGTGTTGGACGCAATGCGTGAAGTATTCACGCAGTCTTGTAGGCACTATGCGTTTCGCGCTGACCGCACTGTGTTTGGCGCGATGCGTGAAGTATTCCTGCATTCTTGTAGGCGCTATCCGTTTCACGCTGACCGCAATGACTGCACTGTGTTTGATGCAATGCGTGAAGTATTCGTGCAGTCTTGTAGGCGCTAATATGTGTTACATGCCGATCGCCGCGCCGAGGGCTTCTCCTTTTCATCTCAAGTCCTCGTTATCATTTCTCTCTAAGTCGCGCCGTTCCAGGCCAAATTGCGTGTTTGGTCTCTCTCTTAACTCGACTTATTGAAGTTGCTGTCTCTTGTATCACTAAGAGACGACAAAATTAGAAATTACTATACTCTCAGGAAATGAGAGATTTTTTCGCCTTTTCTAGTTTGTAATTTTGTTCCGATTTTTTTTATACCTACATTTAAAAAAATTGCAAAATTTGCCGCCCCTTAGATTTGCCGCCATGGGCCGCGGCCCATGCATGTGGCCACCCCCTTAATCCGGCCCTGGCCCCTACTAGAAAATATATCGGATTTTGTAAAATAATGCATTTCTGAGATCTTCGAAATTGCACTTCAGTCAGTTTTTTTTAGAGTCAGCTAAACAATTTCTCTTCAAGCACTTCAATTTTCACCATGTTTCCAACTGGACACCAAGCTCCCCCCCCCCCCCACCCACTCATCTATAAAGCTGGTGGCTTCCCAATAGAACCCTTTGGGTGCGTCTTCCAGTGCCCCTAATCTCTCTTCGTAAGACGCCACTCTGGCTCCTCACAAAAAAGTCCCTGTTACGTAAATGATACTGATATCATGCCATAAAACTACTTCACCATGAATATCTGCATACCATGCAAGATCAATGATGTTCAGGTCAATTAACATCACGGAGGGCTGGATCAAATCCTCGAGATTTTCAGTCTACGTGAAAAATCTGTTCAAAGCGAGGGTTTTCAAAGCGACAACGTTGAGCGACCCACGGATTTAAGCCGCAGACTAATGGAATGTCCCGTCAAACGCCCAAAGCATGAAATAATGAAATGCAATCAGATCTGCACCATCGGGGATTATTTACGCTCCACTGGGAATATCCACAATAGGGAGCATCGATGTAATCTGATTACATACCGCAAACTAAGTCAGATGAATTATGTTGGGCTGCTTGCAAGGGGTCTACTCATTTTTTGATAAATACCTAGTAACCTGTCTGAATATTTATTTTTCTCGCTGCGCTCCCCTCATCAATCTAAATTAATGAAGTTGGTTTGTTTTATTCGATCGCGAGCAAGTCAGAATGCGAATGATTAATTTTTTCATACCTTACAGAAAAATTACTCATTTCACTGCACCCACAGTTTTGAAACCTCATGGGGCATCTTTCCATGATAATTGATGTTATGACGTTCGTACTTGGTTCCTCGGCATTACTTTTAAGTTCGAGTATGAAGCTGCGGCACACTCCGAAAATAGTCATTTTCCATTTATTTTTTCTCATCAAATTAACTTAGCTCATAAAAATTGGTAAAAATATTAAATTATCGATATCGATTAAGGTCTTTGGTAGCAAAAAGAGCAATTGCTCGTTCCAGAATCTCCTCGAATAATTTATTTTTATGTGAGGAAGCAACTGAATCGTTGAGCTTGGTATTTGTGCTAAAAATATTTTGGAATTATGGAGAATATTCGGTTGAACTTCCTTGTTTCTCCGGAGAATTGTTTTTTTCTGTTAAAAGTCAAAGTTTTAAAGGAAATTCTAAGACACTGAGACTGAGAAAGGCCTTTTCTACATCTAAGTCCTCATTTTCAGTTGATTGCTTTTCCGATCTCGGAACCATGTGCATTATATCGTTCTCACTTTTCTGAGTGCATTCAATTAGTAAACGTATTTCACAATATCTATCAGTCGTATCTGCGGATAAAATATTCCCTCCGATTCGCCCACTCCTTATTAAAATTGGCCTACAGTTGATTTAACCAATTTTATGTGTCCAAATTTCTTGTTCGAAAAAATACCTAAATAACTCAATCTTTTAGCCCAAAAAGTGAATCTGATCAAAAGGCGGAGTTGTAACCAAAAACTTTTTAAACGAAATTTCACTGTATACGAAAATTGAATATAAAAATTCACAAGTAAAAATCTTATGCGATTCTGAGGATGAAAGTCACAGCATATGTTTCATGGAACATAACATATGTGGTCGTAACGTGTTACGTGGGAATCGATTTTAACACTCGGTTTCAATGCAGGTGAAGGACGAAAGAATGTCATTGTATGCAATGTTGTGCATTTGGACCAACAAAATTTGACAAAAAATTGAGGGACGAATCAGTACAGAGGGCGAATTAAGTGTGGACGCATCGTTTTGAAATCTATTCTGTGGGCTTCCATGAAGTTGAACGCTTGGGTAATTTTATCACGTGGCCGATGACCTCTATTCAATTAACTCATAATCAAATATTAGTTTTTGAAAGAGGAGTGTGAACTCGTTGGGCTCCTATCACCACGAGTGATCAATCGTGCGTGTCGATCGTGATCGTTGCATTGAAGCAGAATGAAGGCAAAGTAAGTCACGATTTCAGTGATAATGTCTGACGCATAAGCTTTTACACGCTCGAGGCTCATGTACTTACGGTTTCAATCCTCGCACTCGAAACTATTACATACTTCAACAAGTCCTCACTGAAAAAAAAGTAGTTAGCGTTGAGAACTAATTTGGTTGGTTCTCGCCAAGTAGAATCAAAATTAGGCTTCAGAACTAATTTATTGTACTGAAGCACCAATCAATTCGCTTCATACGCTGACTTGACTTTACTAGAGCGCGAACCAGAATTGGAAAACAGCACTAGCTGTAAAATTAGCGCTGTGGTAAGACAAATTCACCTTCGGGTCAAACTAATTCGCCCTCAACACTAACTGCCACATTGTCCGTTACATTTATTTAGTTTCGAAAAAGTGGCGTCGGTACAACAGCCTCAATCGCGTCAGCTCGTGAAAATCAATTAAAATGTGAAATTTCGGGCTCGTTTGACAATGTAAATACTCCCGGTATGATTTATAGTGTCCTCTCTTTCTTGAAAACGTTCGAAAGCAACATAAATAAACCTGTTAAGGTTAGAAATCGTCTGTTCGATTCAAAACGTAAACAAGCATGATATTCGTTGGAGTCGTCAATCTTCTGTATTAAATTGCGATTAAAGCGTTCCGCGTTCAGTTTATATTTTACGAAAATCTGTGAACTTACTGCTTACTTCTATAGTTCGTGTTCTCCCGTAATTTCAAAAGAATATCTCAAGTGTTCGGACGAGATATGTTTATTCAGTGTGAACATTCGCTACCGTTTCATGTGTGAGTGTGTGTCTCTCTAAAGGATAATTCTGTCTACTTGCACATACCTATGGGATATTCCTTTCCTCTGTCGTTCATTTGGAACCGGTCAGTTGATTTTTACCTCTCATCTTTTAAGAAATCTTCTTTTCCTGAAAGTATTGTCCAGTTATCATTCGCTAAGCCGTTTTCTCCTCTCTCAGTTTTGAGGTTAGGTTGACCCAACCCTACCGAATGCGAATTAGAGTAGCGGAATTAGTTTCCAGCACTAATAGTGGTTAGTGTACAGAAACCAAAAATCATGTGTGTCCAAATCACACAATTTGAGTTAGTGTATAGAAACCATTTTTAGTCATCTGACGCTAACTCATTTTTTTCAGTGCTCTCGTAATGCGTATATACCTAGCTCATCTATTTTCAGTGATCTCGTTCTGTATGATGAGAATCAAGATCGCGCTGGTAAAAAATGAAACTCACTAGCTGACTCAGGTGACTGCGCTCGTTCAGACGTATCTAGTTGAGATTATTGTCGCCAGACCACTAGCATTTTGAGGGGTCCAGTGCATGAAAATTCATGTGGAGGGAACCAAATGGACATAATTGCATTGCAACACAGCAAAGTTGCATCAAGCAATTCTTTTATGTGCATAAGAGGAGCGGCAAATTTTATTTTGAATTTTTCTTGTGAATGGACGAAAATATCCGAAGTTTTTGTCGTAAAATACTATCTGTTAAAAATATTTTATCAGGTGAGACTTTGGAACGTTGCAATACTGTCATATTCTCCGTTCTCTCACCCCTTCAATTTATTGGTCATTAAATGAAATATTTGGGAGAATTATAATCTCATACTCATTTTTTATAGATCCAGTCTCCTGTGAGTAAACGTAAAACATGAAATATCGAAACTTAACTTTTTGTCAATTTTTATCGTATCAAAATGCCGGTCGGAACTTTTTTTTAGGCCCTAATGTTTAACCTTGCGTGATTTTTAAACTTTAAACCTGTTCTCTCCAGTTTGGAAAAAAATGATTTTCCGTTTTAATACGGTAGATGCATTTTTTAAAGAATGAAATTAAGAATTTAATAAATTTACATAAAACACATTTATTTACAAAAATATTACAGTAATTTTTTACAGATTTTTATGATGTCTAATGGGGAAAGTGTCAAAATCGTTGGCCTTGAATGTGCTATCCTCAATGGACAGTTTATCTGTCAGATTCTATTCCGAGGTTGATTTCTACATACTCAGTTAGTTATATAGGCTCTTTATTTTAACGTCTTTCATATAGAATAGTTTACTATGATAAAGAAAATTGTGCATGAACATGAAGTATCTCCACGGGGAATACATTTCATGTAGCATATTGTCATATAAAAAATTGTATTTAAAAAAGTTATTTTTAATCAGTATACTCTATGTCTTCTTTTTTTCGTTTAACTCCGTGCAATACAAACTGAAAATTCGTGGTTGTAAAATTGGTATTTATTTTTTCAACGAGTCAATAATTGAGAAAAAATTTACATGCGGTTTTAGTATCAAAACTTGGCCTTGACTTTTCCGCTCGCAAAAGCGATTTCACAAGGAAGGATATGAATCCATTTTCCGGTTTACCCACGCCATTATTTACCGATTCCTCTCAAAATGCCGGAGTTACGCCTGATGGGCAAACCACTCGCATTTGAGAGGAAATCGTTCACCTCGCAAAAGTAGATATGACCCTTGGCATGATCATGCCATGAGGTCGGCCATCGGTGCTCCGCTGCTATGTCCTGACACAAAGTTGGAACTTTTTCGAAGGGGTTGTTCGAGCAAACTGCAACGATCGCCCGGTCGCTAACTTCGCTTCGTATGACTTTGAAAAACGCGGCAGGCACTCGGATCTTCTGCTCATCTGGCTGTAAATAAATCTCCACATTTTCCCCTGAATCAGATTCAAAAGAAAGCACACCCACTATTCCAGTCATGATGTGTAGGTCCTCTCCAGTCTGTGAACGTTCAGAAAAGAAACAGATATGTTTTTTATCAGAAAAAGTAAAGAGACGGGTGTTCATGAGAGATTCATTTAATTCTGTCACTTCGGGGATGGTGGGTCATAAATTTGATAAATTTCACTCATTCCAATGAGTTTCTTTTATTTATTTATTTTTTTTATGCTGAATTAATTAATCGTTTATCTTTTTAGTTTTATTTTTTATTGACATTTCTGGACTTCAAACTTTGAAACTAATTTCTCCTTGCTGTTGTTAATATAAAGTAAATCTATCGTGAAAACGCCTTTTCAGCCCTTCAGGAGTAGTGATACTAATGTTTTGTAAAACTTTTACTTTTCATTCAAAATTTTAACGCAAACTTTTCGGCCCTTTCAATCTCAACTTCTCATTTAGCTTTTCCACATTCTCAACCACAGTGTCCAATGTACAAACGCGACATCTTCTTATTTTCAATTCCACTCGTATGCTAACTTTGCACTTTTATCTCTGTTTCAGGTAAACCTTAAAATCAAGTTGATTCAAATACCGTATCCTAATTTTGGGTGAGTGTATCGTTACCTTCATAAGTTTGATATGCACCCTTTCGGATGTCGATGTTTTACAAGGATAAAATAGCATATGAGGTACATCCTCCGGATTATAACTATTCAAATATAGCGAATTACCTGCTCTGCAAACTTCCTCAGGTATCGTTCCAGTGCCAGCCAATGGCCCGCATTGATGATTTGCCACTGTGGAGCTGTGTTTACGTAGAAATATGTTGACCATTGCCAGGATCCGTAAAGAAAATCTCCGTCAGGGGCAAGATGACCCCTCGCCAGATAATATGTCCCTTTTATAAATTTCTCTCCTTGACCCTTTCCAAGGAGCTGATTGAATAAACCTCGTTGATATTTCTGCAAAAATCCAATTTTTTGTATTTTGGCAAAGTGAACAGAATGTAAATTATTGTGAAGCATTTTTTTAATCAAAATAGACACTATTTGGACGTCTATAAGATAAGAGATTACTTACGATTTCTTTACTGCAAGAAGAACTATGCACACGTTACTATTTGTCATTCTGCTGACAAAAGGGATTAATTACTCTTTGAAATGAGCCCCGGACAGCATTGAATTATATGGACGACAGGGTTCATTGTCAAGTGCAGTTACGTCCTTATGTCAAGAAGGCGAGAAATTAACCGGCTTTTAATACCTACTTTACAAAAAGCTTAAATAAATGTCCAAGCATGATGTAAATTATTTTGGGTCTCCTGGGAAGAGTAGCTCTTTAAAGGCTTAATACTGGCCTGCGTAGATTCAATTCATTTGTAGATTAACTGCGCCGTTGACAAACAATAATCACAGAAAAGTTTTAGCAAAAAAAATAAAATTCACGCAAAAAAACACTAAGCAATATTCAAAATTAAAAATAATTTGTAAATGGATACTAACCTGGGTATAAACATTTTTTACGTTAATCCCCTCGTAAAGATGAGAAGGTCCGTCCTCAAAGTCTGGCCGAGCTTTAAAAATACGTGCTCCGCCGATGGTGGCTGGAATATCGTGCTCGACAAAAATCGTGTCCGCTGCTTTGATATCATGACACACCCACATCAGAGGTAAAAGCTGACGTTCAACCTTCAGGCAGAATGAAAACATCAAATCTGAGTACGCTCGCAAATCTTTCGAAATATTTATACCAAAAAAATAACCATACTTATTCGCAGAAATAAAATTTAAAAAATGCCTCTGTGCCTGAATTAAAGACACGCAGTATGTAAAAACAAAAAGAGGGACCTAATGTCACTGGGCATGTATCTAACCATAAATCTTAAAATGCAAGATTTACACAAGTTTGTGGTTTAAAAAGGAACAATGGTAGTTGGTGATTGTAGGTCACCGTATGGAGCGCCGGAAAGCGATAAACGTACATATGTATGAATACAATTATAAACATACATTAATCGAGATAAACAGCCGTAAACTCAATATTAAATATTTTTGACGATGCATTTCAAGCTATACTTCGTTATACCTACTATAATTAATTATTTGCCTGACGATTGGCAGAGCATGAGAGAAAATCGATTACAGTAGATATTTTATTATTTTACGCGAATTAATTTTAAAATTGTGATTTATTTTACAATTCATCAAATCCTACGCTTTATTTTTAGGCGTTATCGGTTATTTCTGATGTAGTATCGAACACTTTGTTTGCTGTTGCTCTGCAGTTAACTTGGCTATCTTTCGCCAAAGCTTTGCTCAAATCCTTACATAGCATAGCATGGCATTACATAAAAGTGTATCTGTTCTCATAGATAAGTAATTATTGATAAGCTACTACCAGGAGTCATCGACTGTTTTCGCTGATGTTCATTTTACTAACAATTTAAAATTGCAAATCTAAATCAACTTGTGGCTCCCTTCTATCCAGATACCAGCAAAAGTTTAAACAACAGTAATAATTACCTCAAATCCAATTTTCATCTGTGTCCCAGTTTTGGCGCATTTTTTACCTGAATCTAGTTCAAGAGTTGCTTTTACACTACTCGTGCACTCGATCTGCTCGATGTTAGAAGTCTTCTTTGCTCCTAAAGAAAACCTCGTTCCACTAACACAGTGTGAATCTGCAGCATTCTCGGTTGTTCGTGCCAATTTGTTGGCTTTTCCCGGGCATGCGAATACCAGCTCCTCGTTTTCTGATAGCTCGAATGAGCCTTTGTCCCTTTTAGACGCTCCTTTTGCGCTCTTAGGATATACGAAATCCAGCTTAGAGCCCTTATGAATCAAGTAAAGAGGCTCCTTCGTTGGCAAGTTACTGTTCAACGAGACTTTACAAACTGGAAAAACGAAAGAAAATTATGATGGATAATAAGAACCTTTGAACAAGAAAGCATGGAGAGATGTTATGATAGGAAATTTTTTTAAAAAATCAAAATAAAAAGAGGAATTTTATAAAGTAAAATCATTTCTTTACCAATACCTTCCTGGTACTTCCTAGTTGTCATTAATCAGTCATGGATCAATCTGCAATTCGACGAACACGAGATTTGAATATGAGTTACACTTAGAGTATATTAATACACCCTCGCGTAAATGTAATGAGATAATGTATCTGTTTACTTTGGAATACGTGAACAGTGGGATACGTCGAATCGTCGTCGCTCTGCTGATATAAGGCAGTGGCGTGGCGTGAATTGCGATTTATCGATTGTAATGCCATTTAAACCCATGGTAAAGAATCGATTATTAAGGTGTTCGCTGCGAACACCCTGTTTATCGATCCTTATCCATAGGTTTAAATGGCCGATCAATCGATACATCGCAAAACACGCCACGCCACTGATATAAGGGTGTAACTACACTTTAAGATGAGCCCGGGAAAGCGTTGAGTTATATAGACCACAGGGTTCATCGCGAAGTGCAGTCACGCCCTTTTGTCAGGAGGGCGACGAAATGACGCAGCTACTGAATTAGTCTACTTCTTTTACGACTCAATGTACTCTGCGCTCAATTCCGCCGTGCTGCGGAAGAACGCCGTATGAGCTTCCAGGCGTTGCCATATCTCCATCGATAAGGAACGAATTCACTCAGAAAACTATGATTATTTTTCTTCAAATTTTTCAGACAATTTCGTTCGCAATTTAATCTGAAACATCTGAAAATTTCAGAGGAAAATAAGCTAAGTTCTCTTCGAAAATACATGTTTTATCCGGTGATTTGGCAACTCCCGAATGTTCGTTCGTCGTTTTTCCTCAGCACGGCAGAATTGCGTTTTATCGCTTATTTGAGGAGAGGCACTAACCTGCGCCAACGTAGCCGTGGAGGCTGAAGACGACAGCGAAGATCGGGGCGAGAGAGATGATCATGATGACACTCGAGGCGCAGCGATAGACTGAGGATCTTTCCTAGCACCTGGACCTAGGTCACGGAGTCCACGGAGTCCACGGAGTCCACGGAGAGGCGCCGGCGCAAGCACGGAGGAGCCCACTAATGACCTCACAGATAGGACAAAATCGTTTCACTTGCAGAACGCGATCGAGCCTGGAAGAGAAGAGCGCGAAATGACATTGAGATGAGATTCCAAGCCCGCCGCCGCTGAAGCTTCCTGCCATTTCCCTCTTCCTCTCCATCCGGAGCTGACCAGATAACGACGCACGCCAGCCCACATAATTAAATGCAGTGTTCTTCTTCGATTCCACTTTTTCTTCTTCTTATTTATTTATTTTATTTGCTCCTCCTATTGAGCTTTGTTGTCCACCCGACCCCGTGCCTCCACGTTGCCGGAGCCTTTGCCTCTTCAGCACTGCCATGCGAGGGAAGAACGCCATATGAACATTCAGGAGTTGCCAAATTTCCCTTGATAAAACATGAATTTTGACGCAATTTAAACGTATTTTCCCTGGAAATTTTTAGACATTTTAGATTACATTGCGTACAAAATCGTCTGAAAATTTTGGGAAAAAATATTTAAAATTTTCTCAGTAAATTCGGTTTTATCGAAGTAAATTCGGCAACGTTTGAAGGTTCATACGGCGTTCTTCCTTAGCACGGCAGAGCAGCCAATGGTTTTATCGCACAAGTGACGGCATGACGTCGTTTCCCATAGGGATGATCGTATCTTGATTCCGACGCTGCAAAATCCTCTCGCTTACTTTAGATTTAACTCGAAAATGGAAGCGCAATTTTTGCCAAAAATTTCGAAGATTTTTAACAGTAATCCTTGGAAAAATCTGAGAATTTTCAAGGAAGAATTCCACACAGTTTTCGAATAAAATTACGGATTAAAAGAGGAAATTTTGCAATGATAAAATTTAATTACGTTTTTTCTTCGAGGAAACTATGATAACCGAGCCGCCCTAGTAGAAATCCCTTGAAAAATCGTTTAAAAATCACATTAAGCACATCGGCATCAGAAATATCTAATTCTCGTTGTCTAATTTTTCAAAAATTGCACTCACTTGTGCTTTGATTGATTTGAATCTCAGAGCAAATGACCACATATTAGAAATCGAAAAAGAGACAACATTTGTCCCGTACTTTAAATCCCGTTAAATTAAAGAATCAGCAAGTAGGTCTCCAGTATGCTGAGTCGAAGAAATAATAGACTTCAGATTAAACTTACCTGCACGTCAATCAGTATTCACCGGCAGTAACGATAGAGACATGGAGGAGACTCCTGGTTGATGAGCTTGGCATACTAGCGATGACTGCAAGGAGTTACGGAAGTTGCGTGCGGGTTCCTTCCGCTGTAAGTAACGGTATTTTCTATTTTTGCACCCGAACGCAAGACAACATTAAGCCGCGCCACACCACTTCACCTCGATGCAATGAAGGAACATACTGACCAGAAGCGCGGAGGAGTCAATACTCTCTTGTATTGACATCAAGATGCGTCAACTTAGGCTGCACTAAGTGTTTTCCTCCCCCTTTTTGTCACCGCTCCTCTCACCTGTATGTTATGGTGTAGAGACCGTAATCTGAGGAGCGGGGCGTTCCAAATTATTCGCTGGAAATACACCCGGTAGTGTGTAATGTCAGAATTCCCCATCAGCAAGGAATTCATACGGGGGTAAAGTGAAACAGTCAACAGTTACAACAATAGGCTGTTACAATACGAAAATCTTTGAAACCCAACCTCTCAGCGCAGGATCAAAAGCATGTTTGGGGTTCAACTGACACTCGTATCTCCATCCAACAACATAATTTCCATCGAATGATAACTGATGATTAAATTGCCCGGAAAATACAATAGCATTAGCGTTTGGCAAACCAGGAGCTTCTAAATTGGGCCCTTCTAAAAAGAACCTGTCATTTTAGCGACTGAATTTGGGGCAAATTCTGTCGTGGGAAACGACATGTTTGAGAGCATCTTAAATGATCGTAGCCCTACAAAAGGAACACTGCACAATAATGGAAGATTGATGTTGAAATAGCCTGGAAGTTGGCTTGTACAGCTTGAGCGTTTCTTTTTAATAATTTTCCAGATGTCATCTAATTATACTGAAGTGTTACTGAGGTGCTTAGGCGGGAAACGCGTTAAGAAAATGGGTCGTGTCCATGTCTGGGAGGATCTGACATTTATCTGGCTACGGAATTTGATTGAGTCTTAAGACGTTTTTGCGAATGTTCCTAAATTTCAGGCTCTTGTTGTGACCATTGTAATCTACCAATTCACACAGGTCCTTACCTATCATATGTTACTTATTAGTCGTACGATATTGCAAAAAAGTGGGGTTTTCCCCCAAAACTCTCACTGCTTATGCAGTGAACTACTCCTGATCATTTTAACTGGTTGTGAGGAAAGTAGTGGGTACCTCAGAGAAAGTTTTGGCTGTTTTTACTTCTCAGAATTCAGATCAGAGTATACTTTTTTTTCCTTCTAATTTGTGGTATTGCCCGTGCATGAGAAAATAAAGCGTTGCCTCCCAAAAATTGACCGTGTCGTCAGCAGAAGCGTATTCCTTTGTTCTGAGACTTCTCGTTACATTGGATACTGAGAAAAAAAGAGGATGTAACTTAAAGAATAACTAAACGGTCGACAATTTCACACGAAGGAAAAAACATACAAAGTCCACTCGAGGTTAATAACTTTGAGACGTGATTTGCTCATTACCACAAAGACACAAAGACTTATTTTCAACTATAAAAGTTATTGAATATATTCTACATCAGCACCAGAATATAAGAAGAAAATTGTATTAAAACATTTAATTATTTCTTCAGGTTTATTTTCCGGAGCAAAAATTTCCTACAAACAAATACCAAAATTTACCGTCATTTTTCAAGGCCTTGCAAGATTCCCGAGTATTTCACTTTCGGGAGGTATTCCTTAACTCTTGCAACGAATTGCTCCACGTTGCAAAAGTAAATGAATCCCCTTTTGTAACTTTTCCAACGGGTTTCTGCGGTCGGCCAATGATTTTCTTTGGCGATATTTTTACAAAGCGAAAAAAGCGGCACCTTCTCAAATGGATTGTTGGAGCAGATTGCTACAATTGCCTTATGGCTTACTTTGCTTTGTATTATTTTGAAAAATCCTGCGGGTACGCGAATCTTACGGTGGCCTTCCTCAGGTTGCAAGTAGACATCGACATATGTGCCTGTTATGCGTGATCTCAGCTTCAGAACTCCCCAACTGCCCGTAATGATGTGCAAGTCCTCGCCGGTCTAAAAAAAAAAATATGTTAAAAGGTTCGATCAAAAACACAAAATCGGATTTGATCCTTAACTCGCAGATAGCGCAGAGCCTTTTTATCTCATGTGAGATAAAAACTATACCACCAAAATGCAAAGCTAATTTAATTTGCTAGTGATGAAGTTAACAAATAAAGGAACAGTATTTAAACGTCAATTTTTCGTAAAGAAAGAATATTAACTTTTACCGAATCCCGCAAAAGTAGATCTCCTCTCAAAGGCTCTTTTTTATTCTACTTGATGACCATCTTTTTTCATGGCGTGCTTTTTTATCGTATTCTAATATACCTTAAATCGTATTGAAATTCTAGCAAATATGCAAATTTTGTAACAAGAAAATATACGACACCTCAGCTGCTAGTCTTTTGAGATAGTCTTCAAGACCTTTCCAATTGCCTCCATTGATAATCTGCCATTGAGGGGCTGCATTAACGTAGAAGTAAGTCGCCCATTTCCATGTGCCATAGAGGAAATCTGCATGCGGTGCAAGATGACCTTTTGCAAGGTAATATAGTCCTCTAATAACGTGTTTTCCCTCTCCTTTGCCCAAAAGATCATCAAAAAGCTGTCTTTGGTACTCCTGTAAGGTTATTAATCGCAAAGTTGTCACGAGTGGTAACAGTATGCATATGATATTCTAACTGAGATATCGATTAAGTTTTAAACTTTTAGTGTATTTTCCGAGGGAATGCTCTATTTTTCATAATACAGCGGAGCCACGTGTAAATTTTCTTGATTCAAGGTGAAGACAATTTTTCAACGGTCCATATTATATTCAATCCTATCAGTACACTCCTCCTGTGTTAGAAATTTTAAATAAAAATAAAATCCGACTTTTAATGTTGAATTGCTGCTCTGATAAAGGAAAAAAATTACTCCATGGAAAATATTATGTTAATACAAAAAATTTATGATTTACTTCCAGTGATTTTGATGTAAGCATTAGATTAAGGCAGATTCCTCCAATCTCTGTCTTAAGTGTTTAGCGCTCATTATTTATTTTTTCAGTTTGCCTTCAATAGCCCAGGTAGGCAATTTGAGCGACTTGGAACAGTAAAAGTTGCTTGCAGCCATTTTATCAGTATATCCATGTTGATTATAGGATTAGCAAACCTCTGTTCCTTTACTCACAATGGTCTGCGCCAACTCTGATCAGTTCGCCTTCAATACCCAGATTAGGCAATGCGAGTGGCTTAAATGAACTTCACTCTCCGAAGAAGTTTGAAGGGGCTCCTACAATCATTTCAACACGAGCTTACAAGAAAATCAAGTAAATGCATAAGTGAAAAGGTTATACGTTATGCGGTGTACCTGAGTATAAACTTTCCGAGTATTCACTCCGTCGTAAAGTGGATATGGTCCCTCTTGAAAAGATGGTCTACTTTGGAGCATTTTCGCCCCGCGAATGGTAGAGACAATATCGTGTTCGACGTAAATCGTATCTGCAGCATCTACGTCGTGGCAGACATTTATCAAGGGCAGGTACTCCGTTTCAACCTGCCGAAATACAATTCAACGATTTCGTCTAAATCAGATCCTTGATCAATACTCACAGAAAAATATTTTTGACCGCTCAAGAGAAAAGAGACCTTCGTGTGAAAGAAAGGCAAGTTGAGATATTAATAGTATAAAACAAGAAAAAAATCTATTAAGTTTTAATCAGCCATGTTTGAGTTTCAAAATTTACTAATTAAAATGCAGTTTCACTTTCTTGCATGGACACTCAAGTAAGCTAATTTTTATACACTTTGGTGGAATTGAAATTGTATTTGTTTATTAGTTTTATAGTCACGCTGTAGATAGTTTTAGAAATTGCCTGAACATGGAGATCCTTTCTAGTTAAGGCAAAGAGAGCAATTTTAAAACTTTTAATCTTAAAACTTTTTTAATCTTATTTTTCTATAAAATGTTGGTTTTTCCTGGATCCTTGATGTTGACATGCAAATTGCGTCATGTCATCAATGAACGACCACACAGACAAAAATAGATGGTGCTGACGACAGAACCTTTTGTTCATACGGCTCCCACAGTTTCTTTGTTACACTTACAGAATTTCTCTGTTGTGAGGACAGAACTTCGGTCGTGGGAACAGAGTATTCTGTCCTCATAACGGAAGCTTCAGTGACTGTAACAAAGAAACTGCGGGAGCCGTGTGAACAAAAGGTTCTGTCGTCAGCACCATCTATTTTTTTCTGTGCACGACATTGTAGGTATCAATGCCGCAAGAATGATACAAAAGCTTTTTTTTTTTTTGCATTTGATTCACGTTAACTTTCAAAACAAATGCTGAAGCTACCTCAAATCCAATTTCCATTTCGGTCCCAGTTTTCGCGCAAGTCTGTGAAAAATTTGGTCGCAAGACTGCCCGCACACTGTTGGCGCACTCCAGCTGTTCAATTCGTAGTGTTTTATTTCCCACACCGCCAACTTCAACATCAAGCCGTTTCCCGTCAACACAGTGCGATTCGACAACATCATAGGGAGGGCTCATCAGTTCGTTGTTTTTTCCAGGGCATGCTAAAATCAGCTCTTCATTTTTAGCAAGTTCAAGTACTCCTCTGTCTTTTTGCGGGATGGTTTTGTCCTCCAAGGGGAGCACAAATTCCAGGCTTCCATTAAATCGCTTCAGGTAGAGAGGTTCTTTCACCGGTAAATCGTCCCGCAAAGATATTGTACAAGCTGCAAGGAAACATCAACCACACATATAAACCGATTCGTAAAACATAAAGTTGAACGATAACTAAGCCGATGGAAGAGTTATTCACTGAATACAAAAATCTTAAATTTTCCACCAACAATTTGTTTTTTTTTAATCAAGAATGATGCTGCTTAATTAAAGCCACTTTTTTGCTAAACTCAAAGATTTGTTTCCTTGTTCCTAGAAATATTCAGCTTGAATCAAGATAAAAATAAACTCTTGGCTGCAAATTCAAGAATGGTCATGCTGGAACCAAGCACTTTTTTTCAGTATTTAAACGTAAATTCTGTTTTTAGGTAGCTTTTAACATAAAGGTCATTAGAAAATGTAGTTTTGGGTGTGAGTGTAGGTTTTGAGTAATTCATAAAAACAATAATATCTGAGGTGCTCCTAAATGACAAGAAAAAGGTGCGGCAAACGTGTATCTGATAGTTATCTTATCTGATTCGAAAACAATAGTTTAAAAAAGTAATTTGTTGTTATTTGTTGTGGAGCTCAGAGTTATCATGAATTAATTAATTGATCAAACGTCACACTCAAGCTTAAACTCACCAGTTTTAACATAACGTTGTGGACTTAACAACTTTAATAGGACGAGGAACGCTAATGAAATACTAATTGCCATCCTGATGAAAACGTACTGTCGCACATATAAGAGGCCAAAGAACTTTGATTGCACAGATGCCACACGCGACCAAATCATTGGCCATGACGCTCGACTTGTCGGTATATTTGATTGGTTATACCCTACCTCTGCGTATTTCGCAATGACGGAATTGCAAAATTCCGTGTATCGTGCTCTTGATTTGTTCGGGATGGGTCACACGACTGCCTCCATTTTGTGTTCATATTCATCGACGAAGCAAGAATGGAGGAAATTGTTTGGGATAGGTCGTGATTTGACGAATAAGGGCAGCATTGCAGTTGTAATTAACCCATGAAATTGTGATGAAAGTCACACGTAGACTCTAGTTTAGAGTTGAAGTTGTCCTAGTAGAGCGTTCTCCAAAACATCGTTTCCGCTTTGGGAGCCGTATAGGGTTAAAGCTGGATATTCAAAAATTAGAGTTAGTCTTGCAAAAAAAATCATAAAATAAGGCTTCCATTAATTAATGAGACTGTCTTGCCTCCTTGGACATCTTATCGAGCATTTAATGGATAGTTAAGTTTGAAATGGCTCTCACAAAACCCAACCATCCGAGTGTGTCAAACAACGCGACTTAAAACACTGCAAAATACGAAAATAGAGCAAAAGAAAGGGTGCGCGCTAATGACGGCGCAGAGATACAACTATTCGTACGTGATGGATGTCCGTGTTGCATCTGAAAAATTGAAGGCGCGATGGCGCGAGGCGTGAACTCGTAATGCTCGCTCCGCTACTACGCTGCCAATGAAGTGTCATTCTGATTCGGGAGAAAAGTTCAGAAACGAGGCCCGAGTACGTCTCTATATCCTATCTTCGGTTGTGTAACAACGAAGTGTTCGGTTGAGTTTCTTTTTTCTCAATCTGATTTTCGATTCTTCTTTAGAATATGTTTGTAGACCCATATCTAAAGCTCGTACGCAATGGCCCCATATAACCCATGGGACTCGTGTTTTAAGCTAATCTCGGGTCAATTTGACTAGGTTTAGGCCTCTAAGTGTTGAAGATTCTAGATCATGATTTATGCTCATCCTCTCCTGTTGACTCGTTTAACTGTGCGCCGTACCATCATCAAAATTGGACGTATTTTTGCCAAACGGAACTATGTGCAATGTGCATTAAGACATGAGCCCTGAGACCGAGAAGAATATATGCGTATCAGGGCTCACGTCATAATTCACATAGTTCTGTTTGACAGAAATACGTTCAATTCGAGTGCCACGATACGCGCGAGCAACAGTTTTCGCGACTGCTCGTCACTGGCATCCTATAAAAGATAGAAGAAAAAGAAGACGTCTCGTTAATATCATAGAGTGCGCATATTACTGGATTTCATACAGCTCGCGGTTGTCATATCACGGATTACATTTTGCAATGAGGAGCCATTATCTTTGGCTCTTCTATAAAAGCATCTTTCTGCACAGGGAAACCAATGGCATATACGTTGTTTATAAATGAGCCAGAAATAGTAGTTCCTCACATCAGTCTGTCCTCACATTACCGTGTCGGTTCAATAAAGAAACAAAAATTTGAGATCCAACATCCGAGTAGAAAGGAGCAGTATTTGGCCGCGAAAAATCATGATAACTGCCAAACGCGGACTTGTGTAGATTGCCAACTTAAAAAGAAAGTTCTTATGTGAGGAGTAATCGTGTGGCCTAAATCGCGAAGAAGAAAAGGATGTTTGGACTAAGAAACAATTGGCTTGGCTTACTTTGGCCCTTTTTCGCCCACGCGTACGTTATTTCGACCACAGAAAACTTAGAGTTGGAGTAATTCTTTCAGAGGTTTTATACCAAAATTGACACGTACATATTTTGTTAATATTGTCGCTAATTAGTCCACCGTGGAGCACTGGGATGTCCATACCTAAAAGTCAATCCAGAGGCAAATTTTACGAGAAGCGTTAAAAAAGCAAGTTTCTTTTGAAATCGATCCGTCAAAATGATCGGGTCCGTTCGCTCATCATGCGCATGTATTCCTTTCCATAGCATCTTACCTATCAAGTTGAAATACAGTAATGGACAAACAAAACTCAACAAAGCTGTTAGCATCTGATATGTTCTTTATAAGTGCGTTTGCATGTAGGATTGACCCCTCAAAGCCAAATGTTAAGAGCGGGAGAGTGAAAATCAACTCAACAACTTTTCAGCTGTATCTTCAACGCGTGCATAAATGTAACTACTGTTCAAATAATAATTATATTGATAAGGATTTGAATCCTCCTAAAAAGGCACTGAGATCAAGAATGAGCATTGGTGAGAATGCTCCGCAGTGACGTGTTTCAGAAAGTTCTGATGACTTCAGGTTGGAGGTGAATCCCGCAATTCTGTGGTCATCGCTCTTCGCACATTGAGTCCGCCCTCGCACCTTTGTATTCAGAATTTGCGATCCGTTAGACCGTCCGTTGTCAAATCTCGTACTTTAAAAAGTTGTGCAAAATATGAGCGTGTACACGGATCTGGGAGGGAGAAGGATGTAGGCTAAGCGAAAAATGCTAGAGAGCGAATCAAAAGAAAATCAAAGAAGTCAATCGGGGTCCGAAACTGGCAGAAGTAATTTTCCAGTTCCATGTGAGCGCGACCACTTTCAAAACATGATCCCCCTAGGATTCAAAATTTTCGACCCCCTCCCCCCTCTTCACACCCCCGTTACGTGTGAGCCTCCTCCCTCCTGAAAATTTACTTGACGTTTTTCTTGATCCAATCATTTTCCGTAAAAGTCAGCAATGTTGGCCTGTACTTCTACTAAAGCTATTGACAAATTTCGAGTGAAGCAGCTGTTAACACCGACTTGTACACAGTGCCAGATATCCCCTCCTCCTTTGTCACCCTCTCTAAGCACGCGTGTTGTAGTTTATGAACTGAACAGCTTCCGAAAAGATAATGTCTATGGTGAGTAAGTGACGAGTGTTGCTCTCATGTTTCTACTTTAATTTGTTAAATGATGCACTACAGATGTATTTTTTCTCTGTTCACAGGATGGGAACTAAAAGGACTTCATTGCTACAAATTTTTCACAATCAAACATTCATGGGAAAGTGCTGCTCAATTATGTAATAGGTAAGTAAAAAAGCGATCATCTTCAGTTACATAATGAGAGAATATCACAGATTAAGGTAAATAAGTGAATTTTTTGTAATTTTGAGAAGAAAGCATCCGAAGTTAAATAATCATATGAAAGTACAAAAAGAGAAAAAAATCCCTCATAATTACGAAGATAAAAAAGTACTCCTAAGTTCAATTTCGTTCAACAAGAATATCTGCGGTCGACTTATAACCCGAAGTTGAATAATCACAAGTCGACGATTCAGTTGTTTTTCGAAAAATGTCTTTATACTCCTTTTTCTGTGATATTCAGTTTTGAAATGATTTTTTGAGATAAGATACCTACCTCTAAGAACCTATGGTTGCTTAAGCAGCTAAAATTTAAAAAATCAATTGCTTATTACATATTCGCTTCTAATTAAGTGATTCTAATCGATGCATGTTAACATTCTTCATTCTCCTCTCTCAAAAACCTCCGTTCATTCCACAAATGCCATCGCGGATTCAATGACTGTGAAAAAACACACATTATTAAAGCATACTTGCGGGGGAGGAATTCTCGAGGGCCGATAGGCCTGTTAGGCGCTGGACCGCCGCCAACTGGGTGGTGACGCCGCGACGCGCGTCGGCCGCGCCCGGACCGTTTTAAGTACGAGCCGCTCACTTTTTTCACTGATGCCATGTACATACAACTTCACAGGACCTGAAAATCCTACACATTGTAACATGTGTTCAACTGAGCACTAATTCGAACAATCCGACGAAGGTACATACCGCCGAGCCTAGGAAAAACGTCGTATGAGCCTATAGACGTTGCCAGATTTCCTTCCAAAAAAACCGAATTAACCGGAAAAATGTTGAACATTTTTCTTCATTCTCAGACGATTTTTTTAGCGATTCGATCTACAACATCTGTAAACTTCAAGGTAAAATGTAAGTAACTTTCCTCAAAGACGCATGTTTCATCCGGGGAAATTTGGCAACCCTCGAATGCTCATGCGGCGTTTTTCCTTAACACGACAACATAGTCGAGTCGGTGTGGAGCATCAAAAGGAAAAGCATTCCTGTCCATGTGTCGAGTTGACGGTTGATCCGCGGCGAAAAAAGTGAATGATGAAAAAATCCAGTGAACGCGCCAGGAGAAAAAATGCTTTCAATCGCCACGACGCACAGTTGCCCGATTGCCGTTGACCTATCTCGGTTTATGGATGTATTTCTATTGAACGGTACTATGTGCATTAAGACATAAGCCCTGAGACCCGCAAGAGAATATATGCATAACAGGGCTCACGTCATAATGCACATAGTTCCGTTTGATAGAAATATATCCTTTATATCAGTTCGGATGGAGCTTTTCGGGCTTTGTGTAGCCGACGCGACAGAGCAACGCTGGACGTGAGTCGGACGGACCTTGAACTTTGAGCCGCGTCTCTGTGACAATGCCCCCGTAATGTTGCGTTCCGCGCCTCGCGAATTGTGACAATGCGTCATGGGTTACACTGACCGCGAAGCGCCGGTCGCCGAGTCTTCAATGCCAACTGTCTGACTGACCTATTGGGGCGGACTCCATGCCGCGCGTTCAATGAGGCCGGACCAAATACTTTCTGAGACTTTTTCTTGGAAGTATGTCAGTTGACTTTCTCACAGAATAATTTTTCAACAGTTCGATCTGTGTCAGAGTCACAAAAACATAACACGGTTTGGAAAATCACCAAGTTGCAATAAATGGTATTACAGACAGCTAGCATCACAATATGAACACTAAAAAATACACAACCCATTTTTAGCATCAGGATTTTCCCGATTTTATCAGGATTTGAGAAAAGTCGGCCGTCCGATCAGTTTTTTTTATCGAGCTATTTTCGTAGAGTTACATTCGCTCCGCAAAAAATCAGGATTTGATCAGGATTTGGACAAAATATGAAATCAGAATTTATCAGTTAAAAATCAGGAGAAATCAGGATTTCCCAAATTGAAAAAAAATTGACACCCTGACAGATGCACGAATTCTTCATAAATAATTTGGCATGTCACTGGACTGGCAGAGCCTTTCAGACTCAACTCGAGAGAAGTACATAAGAGGTCAGGGAGTCAAGAGGTGCCCTACGAGTGGCTTATGGAGACGAGAAGGTGCATGTCAAGCATTGCTTATAAGAGGCAAAGCAGCTCCTAAGACAAGCAAAGTTACCGGAAACGCAAATCGGTCGATGGTATTGCTGAACTTGTTCGGCACTCTATTCTACAAGCTCTTATACCTTCATAGTCTAGAATAAGTACGTTGTATGAGTGATGAAATGTTGCTACTGTAAGAAAATTTTGTATTCGCAAAAGTAAGAGTTCGTACTACTGGAGGACAGAAAACAGTTGTATAACTATCTCTGGAAGTCACTGCTATAGGCGCCGCACCGCGCCACATGCTGATCAAAGCAATCCATGCGTGGCGTCAGCGGTGTTGTGAACCATGAGCCTATAATGCGCCTTAACTAGTATGCAACTTGCAGCTTTTTCTAAACAAGTGCCTTTGGGTGTATGAAAGCTTATTAAAAGTGGCAATCGTGACTAAATACAATCAATATCGAAAAAAGCCGCACCTTAAGTTATTTCTTTCCCTCCAATCTTTTTTTCAATATTTTAATACAAACTGGCGACTTGAGCGTCTAACACTGCGCATATATTAAAGTCACAGTTGCAGTATCCACTGTCTCTGATAATTGTTTTCTCCGGTTCTTCGTTAATTTAATTAATCTCTCTATTGTTCCTCACTCCGACTGAGCCGCCTCTTTTGTTTGAGATGCCTCCGTGCTTTGACCTTTCGCTCTTTTCGTCTCTTTCTCTGTGACCCCGATGAAGTATAAAATTCCTTTACTTTTGAAAGTTAATGCTCGGCTGAGTCAGCACAAAATGAAGAGAATCGATTCTACGTGTTCTCTAGCGCTAGCAACTTGTCTATTCTTATCGAATCTATCAATTGAGTCTATGCGTTAAAATATTCTTTGACAAAGTTTGCACCCGTGAATTGTCGGAGAAAGTTAGACGTAGGATCAGAAATAGGAACAGGAAGCTGAAAAAAAAAATGAATGGAATCAGCCCTTGAGGGTCATTTGAAGAAAAAATAGAGAATAAAAAAAGACAATCTCAGGCTAGCTACCGTTTGCTGGCCGAAAAAAGGGGTTGCTGCATTTCTCTAGGAATTAGGTCTTAACTTCCAGTCTTGTTTTCTGAATGAATGTAAATGATAACTCATTATAACCAGACATCACACAAAAGTCTCAGGATTTTTTTTTTTTTTTTTTTTTTTTTTTTTNNNAAAAAAAAAAAAAAAATCTGAGACTCAGAAATGTCAAGAGAAAAAGACCATATCAGATGGCACCAGCCAAATACGAAAATTGGCGGGAACCATCAACAGGCTTCATCCGACTTAAAATAACCGGAAAAATCTCTGGTACGGGTTGTCTGAAACACCCTGTATGAAAAAGTCCTGTAATGGAGCACGAATACCCACTGAGGATGTAAGTGGTTGTACCATGTACAAATCATTCTGTTCTCAGTACTTAAAATGTCGATTTTCATTGTACGCACAATCCGAGTAGTGTCCGTCAATTTGAAAAGTGCCGCGTCAATTCGTATATTTTGCCGCGCGCGGCACTGAATTGGCGGGAACCAATGGGAGTAAAGTTTCGATTTGTTTACATTCGCGTTCTTGAGTGATAAAAAAGTTGTAATGGAGCACGAATGCCCACTGAGGATGTAAGTGGTTGTACCATGTACAAATCATACTGTTCTCAATACTTAAAATGCCGATTTTCATTGTGCGCACAATCCGAGTAGTGTCCGTCAATTTGAAAAGTGCCGCGTCAATTCGTATATTTTGCCGCGCGCGGCACTGAATTGGCGGGAGCCAATGGGAGTAAAGTTTCGATTTGTTTACATTCGCGTTCTTGAGTGATAAAAAAGTTGTAAACAAACGTGGTTTGGAACTTTTGAGTGCCGATTACACTATTACACTGATATTAACAGTGGTAGCAGCGATCCGTTCTTTGCCTGGTACTGCTAAAAATAATGGTTTGCCTTTAGGTAACTAACTTTTCGTTCGTCTCATTTTAAGGCTTGCCCATTTGCAATACGTAGCTAGCCACTGCTAAGATTCCGAACCAAGACAACGATGGTCAGTATTAAATGATACCTAAGCACCAGAATCTTGGTTGTCGGCGTTGATAGACACTTTTCGTTTTGAGCCTCCTCTTCGTAAACTCATATTTCAATTTCTTCAACAGTATCTTTTCAAACACTCATGTACCGGACCCATCATATACCTAACCCCTACTCTTTTCTACCCCAAGGAGCCAAATGTACTTACTTATCCAATTTCAGTACCTTGCAAGTATCACCCTCCATGTAATGAGACAAGTAGGTAAAAGTAAATTGTAACCAATGACGAATCTTTACTTTTCACATTCACGTTTTTGGTACATTTTTATCATTCTGCGACAGCTCTCTTATGATTTTTTGCTGTAGGCCGATTATTGAAAGTTTTAATCAGCCCGATAGGACATCAAATTGTGATATTGCATGGTTAAGATAGGGCTAAGTATGGCTTGTCGGGTTGGGCCGACATAATTTCAATAATTGGGGCGCTGGGACTGCTAGCACATTATCGCAGTTTCTCTCACGTAACTCAAGTGACAAGAGCTGAAAGATATATTTTGTCGGAAGTGACAGTGGGAACATATTTCCCGTGTTCCCATGAAGTTTGTGCTAAAAAGTATTTCGGAATGTTTCCTTACTCATTCCCATTACCTATAAGTTCATACCTACTTTCTTAGGTACCAAAGGATCAACATTTATTAATGGTCTTTTCTGTTTTTTACAGGTATGGTAGTGATTTAGTGTTAGTTGAATCCTATGCAGAAAATAATTATACTGCCGGATTAGCATTACGAAGTTTAGCCCCATCCGAGCGATCAAATCAGCAATATTGGCTCGGACTTACCTCTCTTGATGATCTCCGAACTAACACACTTGAATCTGCCGCAGGTGTCCTAGTCTCTCAGTATGCAGGTGAATATTTCTTGAAGTTTTTTCAAAATATGTGATATTAATATTTAGCAAACACCTAGGCACTTTCATCCTTTTTTAACTGAATCTTGCTCATTTATTTGAGTTTTGCTCCTCAACTGCCTAATGTACGAAATCTTATTTTAATCAAATGTACGTAAATTCATTTATTTTACATCCACTCAAATTTGCGACAACGCTACAAATAATTTAACCAAATGGATACCTATACAATTCCATTTTGTCAAGAAGAAATTACATTTGAAGAATTACATGAGCATTACATTTGACTTAGAAGCTGTCAATCGAAGATTGCAAATTGAAATTGCAATAGTTCTATTCACAGACATCAAAGGAAGTTTACAAAGTTTATGTTTTCATCACAGAGTACATGGAATTGTGAAAGGGACGGGTGAGCTTTACTTTGTGATGACATGACCAATAAAATTAGAAAACCATTGTGTGCCGGCAGCTTCTGAACAGGTGATTTAAGTACACCAGCCTCCCGTCTTCAACGGCACTTCTCAGAATTTTTGGGTTCTTGCAAATTTGAATGACTTAAAGGTGACAACATCCCCTCTGATTCCATTATGACTCAGTGTTCTCTGTTTTCGTTATCTAGCTAAAACTGTTCAAATTGGTTAACTCAAGTAAATCTTGTAATTGTTGGTAAAGCTTGCATTGTTGATTTTATCATGTAAAAGCAGCCTACATTAGTAAGTTTTATCTTTGTATGGTTTCAGGTTTCTGGTCCTTGGAACAGCCAGATCCTCGTGCAGGAGAGTGTGTCGATGTCACCATCACAGATCAGCAGCAGTCTTGGCAGCTACAGACCTGTGAAACTCTGTTACCATTTTTATGCAGGGCAAATGCTTGTCCTACTGGTAATTATTCATTATTCTCTCTCTTCCTTTCCTCATCTTTTTTTTCTTTTTTAACTCCTTTCAATAAGATTAAACAGAGCTTGTCATTTTGAAACTAATCACATGATTATTTTCAATTATCCCAAAAAATTTAGAAGATGCTCCCCTCATGCTCCTGATTTTCTTGTAACACAGAAAATTAGCGAACGTTTATGAGAAAAGCATGCGAAAGGAAACTTCGACTTAAAAACTGTACCTCATAAATGTTTAAGTTTTCCGAATAAAAGTTTGTATGGGAAAAAATCTCTGCGGAGATTTGTTTACATACATCCTTTATCTCAAGTTTGTCTGTTTCATAGGGTTAACATTGCTCTCATCAAGACTTTTTTGTCCAAAAAATTGTTAATCTGAAGTTTTAAGTGTTAAATTCAGTATTTTTCCTCTTGTTTTAGGCTCATTTCATTGCTCCAACGGTGGATGCATCAACTCTGCATTCAGGTGTGACAAATATGATGACTGTGGAGATTGGTCTGATGAACTGGATTGTCCATCTAATTGTCATTTTTACATGGCCAGTAGTGGAGACGTGGTGGAGTCACCAAACTACCCTCACAAATATGATTCCCTTGCTAACTGCAAATGGACCCTTGAAGGGCCCCAAGGACACAACATTCTTTTACAGGTAATGAACAGAAAGTTTTTATTAATCAAAGTCTCATTCATTATTATTTAACTTGAATGTACCACAAGGCACATTAAGAAATTAAGTACAACAGTACGTGTTTTTTTGACAAAATTTCATGCAGAACATGCTAAAGCACATCGAAAACTTCCAAAATTAATTCACAAGTGAGAGATAAGCGTTTGCATGTGGTTGTAAATTTTTGCATGTAGGAAGTTTGGGTTGGTTCTGTTGAGCCTGTCAATGAATTTCATCAATGAAGAACTCTTAAACTGTGATTTTAAATCAAAATTAATTTTGCCATATGTATTAATTCAAAATGTTTCTTTACCTTTGTTTGCAGTTCCAAGAATTCGAAACCGAAAAGTCATTTGATACCGTGCAAATTTTGGTCGGTGGTAGGACAGAGGACAAATCTGTAAACTTGGCAACTTTATCTGGCAAACAAGATCTCAGTAACAAATTATTTGTATCCGCATCAAACTTCATGATCATAAAGTTTAGCACTGATGGATCCGTAGAGAAGAAAGGTTTCAGGTAAATATGTGTTATCTTGTCTAGTTTATTTGAATTCGATTGGAATTTAGTGCCTTAAACTTTAATATCACAAATTAACATGATATATTGATAAGTTTTTAAGATATTCACTCTTGTAAGTACTTCAATGTTTTTCTCCGAGACATATTTTTGCTTACTCAAAAAGGATTAAGTAGCTCACATGGCTCCCTATAATTGCAGTGTTTTCTCGTAAAAAAGTCATATAAGCAATAGCTACAATTCTATATTACCCATATCAGGACCTCAGAGCATCTGGTGATCCAGTGTTTGTTTCGCCAAAAATGTTCTCTACTTTGGTTTTTAAAGAGTGTTCTTTTAAGTAACAGCCGCTGCAAGTAAAACAATGAATGTCTTTCAGGGCTTCAAAAATACTATTTTATTATCAAAATAAAAATTTAATCACTGCCCGAGTTAAATACACATAGAAACAGATAAAAGGAGTCCTGGTGAAGGTGGAGGCTCCCCTTGAAAAATCTGTGACCTATGTAGTTGCTCAGCACTATAAGACCCCTGTTGGACAAAAAGACAATTTTTAGGAACATCTGTGGAAACAAATAAAGAAACATGTCTGTAAAGAGGTTTTTGCGGCAACATTCTGTGTCGAAAAATTCTTTGTCATAGCTAACTGATTCTTTTTAAATGTTTATAGAGCTTCATGGAAAACGGAACCGCAAGTGTGTGGAGGAAATTTACGAGCAACAGCCCAGCCTCAAGTTTTGACATCACCTGGTTATCCAAACAACTACCCTGGAGGTCTTGAATGCTTATACACAATTGTTGCTCAGCCTGGAAGAGTTATCACTCTAGAAGTAAGTTCTAGATTTCCTCTACAACCTATTTTTGCTGCTTATTTTGGAAAACAAACCTGCTCAAGTCTCTCCCCTCCCTCCTAACCCCCCCCCCCAAAAAAAAAAAAAATTAACTAGTTCCTCCTTAATCTAGCGGGTCAACATCACAAAGATTCCAAAGTAGCTCTTTTTCAACAAAAATCTTCATAATTTCCTCAATTAACTAAAGAAACATGCAGCAAATCCCTTGACGTGAGAAAGTTAGCCTCATGCGCTCAGGTCAATTTTCTTGGGGACAGTTATTTTTGCGACTTTTCATCATTTTTTGCACTTTAAAGAAGATTTTAAACATTTACATACTACTGTCTTGAATATTTTTGTGATAATTAGTCTTTTTCCTCTTTTTTTCATAATGTTTTTTTATTTCCATTCCAGATTGATGATGTAGATCTTGAACTCAACCGAGATTATGTCTTGATCAGAGATGGAGATTCACCAAAAAGCCAGCCCATCGGCCGTTTGACCGGCAATTCTCTGAACAATCCGAAAATCATCATCTCTACAGGCCACCAGCTTTACCTTTACCTCAAGACAAACCTTGGTGACTCTCGGAAAGGTTTTAAGCTGAGGTATTCTCAAGGTAATATCCTACGTTTTTCTCAATTTTCAATCATTCTTTCATAACTTGTATACTGCTAGTATATTTTTGCAAATTGTTCCTGTAGGGCCAGAAAAAAAAACCTACTTACAAAAAAACTAGTGGGATAAGATCGCTGCAGCTACCTAGTCCCACTGGTTACATACACAACTAGTACTCTACTTCTACGTTCCTTGAAGAGCCTGTAGACAGCACCTGTATTGCACAGTGGTGTAATGAACTCGCGCCAATATGCTTGGCCATTTTTAACAATTTACTCAGACCGACCAACAAGAAAACATTCACTATGGCCGGTTTTGCTGTGGGCAAGTCAATAACCCTTCCCTGTCACATTTTCCATTCATTACCTCTTTCAAAAGAAGAGGAAATAATACATTAGTAAATAGTGCAGTTATCTGCAAGAAAAGAAGAAATAATCAAGATCTGTTGTCATAGTATTGCTAGTAACCATTCCCTTTTCTTTCAGGTTGCAAGGCCATCATCACTGCTGCAAATGGAACACTAACGTCCCCTGCATTTGGACTGTCTAACTATCCAAGCAATTTGGAATGTCTTCTGAAGATTAAGAATCCTTCAAGTGGCCCCCTCTCCTTAAAATTTGACTCATTGTCAGTTCACCCCTCCGACAATGTCCAGGTGTTCGATAGTCTAAGCACCAGTGGTTTAAGGCTTCATCCTGGCAATGGCTTCACTGGAAACGCAGCCCCAAAGTTAACTCTCACTGCATCCAGCGGTGAAATGCTTGTTCGATTTGTCTCTGATGCCCTTCACAATGGCAAGGGATGGCATGCAACTTTCTCAGCAGGTAATTTTTTTCTTTTTTCCAATACACAATTACTACCTAGATAATAAATCTTAGGTCCCTTTACTTTACCAAAATCCTTTAAGGCGAGCAATGAGTATTTATCATGGTGTGACATGTCCATTTTTGTAGCCCAAATCGCTGTAAAGCCTCGTTTTTACAACCTGCCTATTAGTGTTATCTAATCATTTTTTTAAATTTAATTTGTGGTTTAAACCATGATAGTAGTTACTGGACTTTTCCTCTTGATCTTTGTAAAATCTAATTATACTGCACTCTGCCTTTTTGGCACACCTTTTCATTACATCGAGGTTTTAAGACCACATTCATAGTGATAAAGACTTGTCAACTCAAAATTTCTTCTTTCCGTCTGACCCCATGCAAACGTTTTTGTTTCCTTAATTAACAAGAAAATATAATTTTTGAATGTTTTCAATTTCAGATTGCCCTATTCTCAAGCCGGGCGCAGGCGCACTTGCCTCCAGTCGTGACACTGCTTTTGGCACAATCGTCACTTTCTCATGTCCCACAGGTCAGGAATTTGCGACTGGCAAAGCTAGAATAACTACTGAATGTCTACTTGGTGGCAACTGGTCAGTCTCATACATCCCAAAATGTCAAGGTAATACATTTGAAATAGACTCTGCATGAAACTAGACTTAGTTTCAAAACATTTTTTCAATAATTCAGGGGTCCTTCCTATGAGTTTTAAAAATCTTGAACTAGCATATGAATTGACAAAACAATCTTGATTTAACCCATTCCGTAAAAGTGTATAGTGTTCATCAAAAGTTTGACAAGTCATTTTTGTGCCGTCAAATAAAGTTCGTCATCATTTTACTATCCCTGCAATCCCTATCTTATCTTTATTTATCTATTCATTTACTTATCTGTTGAAAATACAAATCAATTATGAGTGCGCAGTAATTTGCATTTGTGGTAAAATTATCTATATCGTAGATACTATGCTGAATGATGAGAATAATCAATTCTTGAGCTGGTGGTTTTTAGCTAACAATATTTGTAGCCTGTTAATTGAAATTTTTGAATGAATTTTGGTTTTTGAAAAACAAATGTAAATTAATTTTCTTTTCTTTTTTTCCCACAGAGGTCTACTGCGGTCCTGTTCCGCAAATAGATAACGGTTTTTCAATTGGATCCAGCAATGTTACGTACAGGGGTGAAGCTATTTACCAGTGTTACGCAGGATTTGCTTTTCCCTCTGGTCTAGCTGTTGAAAAAGTTTCTTGTTTGGCAGATGGTCGTTGGGAGAGACTGCCAACTTGTTTAGGTAAATCTTTTTTTACTTTGTCAGTATGATCTATATCATTATAGTGATATTTTTCTCCCCCAATAAAATATTTCAAACCTGTTGATTGATATTACTATCTCGCTCATATTTTGAGAACTCATACCGTATAAATAAAAACCTGCTATTCAATCATGTAAATTGGTAGTCAAATATACTTAAGACTCAGCTTAAAATAAAAAACAGTGAGACGTGGCTAATAGACTCTTCGAAGCTCAGCCAGAAGAGGTACATAGGAGTCCACCACACAAAGAAATTGCACTTAGACTTAAAGTCGTGAGTATTTTGGTCTGAAAAATGCCTGCTAAAGAATGCTCCACTATCAAAGTCGAAGTGATTTTTTTAGGTGAATTCTAGAAACAATACATTACATATTAAATATCCAATATTTTCCAACATTAACAAGTATGTAGCCACTTAAAGCAAACATGCGGGCTGTTATTGGCTAGTAGAAGATTTCTCCTCTGCACTCGATCGTCATTTGCAGAGAAGATGACCAAGGTTTGCTTCGTCTTTATGAAGTTTTCAGTAAAAGTCAAACCATGGAGCAAGATTTAAGCATACCGTGGAGCAATGTTTAAGCATGCAACGGAGATAAACGCTTATGGTATTACCCCCCCGATAAACCTTCAGCAAAGAGATGCCCCCAACTGCATACTGCGTATCCCTTTGCCCACTTACTCAACATTCCTCTTCATTGGTCCACGAGTTCTTCGGCTGATGAGCTTAAACAGTAACGTAATAGATTTTTGCCTCTCACTTTTGTCCCCAAAGCTATTTTTTCTTTTGCCTCTATTTCAAGGAATTTCTAATAAATCACTTACAAATTATGATCTGATGTTTCCAGCTTCCCAGTGTCCACCATTACCGGAAACACCTCACACGAATGCAACTGTTTTGAATGGAGGTGGACGCAGTTATGGTACAATTGTTAGGTTTGAATGTGAACCAGGATATGTGCGCTCTGGTCATCCAGTCATTTTGTGCATGAGTAATGGAACTTGGTCTAACCCTGTACCTACCTGCTCTCGTAAGTATTTTATCATCACAATATTAAGTAAGCTTTTAAGACGCATTTTTATTGAAATAATAAGTGTCTCTTTTTGTTGTCCAAATCATGGCTCTAGAGTCAAGTGTGACTAAATTCTTGTTCTGCATTTTTTAGAGTGACTTACTCAAAAATTTCACGCAATCGCTTTTCTGATAAGTAACAATATGGCTGCTCGGTTCAAAGAATAATACTCTTTTACATGGAAGTCAGAATTGACTTACCTATGCCAGTGATTACAGAACAAGTTGCAACCTCCGTAATAGGCCTCATGTATCAAACAAACTACATTTGCGTTTTACTGTAAATTGGAAATATTGCTTTTACTACTGACCGAATTAGCATGGCAGAATAGTGCTGAGTCCACATTATTCTGCACGCAAATCTAAACCAGAAAAGAAAGCCTAAATTATTGGTAATTAAAATTTATTGATTTGTAAAAATCACGATCTAGTCATTCAACTGATCAGACTAGAAGAGAGAAAGACATATCTTCCTCTTTCAAGCCCAGAATGTCCCTCAGAGAGAACACTAATCTCTGATTTACAGAATAGCCTGAGAGATTCCAACTGTTTACTTTTTTGATTATTCAACTTTTATAAAATCCAGATATTTATTTGAATTTTATTTGTGTGTGTAGGTGCTCAATGCCCGGACTTACCCCAGATTTCAAATGGATTTGTGATTGATCAGTCCCGCAAATACTTTTTCGGTGATGAAGCACGAGTACAGTGTCATAAAGGTTTCAAGCTCACTGGTGGGTCAAATATCATTAGGTGTGGTCCTCAGCAAAGTTTTGTCAATACACCCAAGTGTGAAGGTAATGATTTATCTCAATTCTTTTTAAACGTTTGCACTATTGTCTTCCCTTCAGAGAGATTACTTCTTAATACTTTAGCTACAGTTATTTTTAATCTAATTTATGTTTACTGTTAGAAAGTAGCATCATGGTCTAGAGTAAAGGGTAAAAATAGCTCCACTACATACCTTTTCACAAGTGAATTTAAGTGATTTCTCAAGTTAACAAACCCTAGGGTTACTTAATAATCAGCGCAATTTACCCAGGGTTAAAAACAAAACATTCTTAAGTTCCAATTGTAAGATCTATTTATGGAACACGTATTTTGGTGCCAAAATTGTCAAATTCTTCAGGATGTACTTTACATGAATTCTTGATAATTTTTAATTTTCCAAACAGAGTTATTCTTTATTCTGTTTTCTGTCATTTATTGCTTCAACTCCTCATGGAAAATATTTTTGCCCATAGATGTGAATGAATGTGCGAACAGTCAGTGCGATTTAGCCTCAACGGAGTGTATCAACACACCTGGAAGTTTCCATTGCAAATGCCGGTCCGGATTTGCTGCAAGTATGGAGTGCCGTCCAGTTGGTGATCTTGGATTAACAACCGGCGGAATTCCTGATGAGTCCATATCGACCTCGGGATCTGAACCTGGTTTTGGAAAAGAGGTATTTTATGTTTTTGCTGTACATTATCCCAGTAAAGAATCCCAAATGGGTGAGGGATTAGGGCAGATCCGTGATTTCAGTAGGTTACTACTACAAGTTGGGGATTTCCAGGAAGTCTGGAAATACTACGGATTTTGTAAGGGCGGTACGGAAGTACTGAAACAGTGCCGAAATTCTCCGGAAATTCCGGAATTTTTTGTCGCACTTTAAGGGAGAAATTCGAATTTTTGAAATTCCTTGAATTTCATCAATTAGAGGTACTGAAAAAGTACTGAATTTTTCTGTTGAGGAGGTACTGAATTTCTTGGGAATGTACTGAAAAAGTACTGTTAAAGCACTGAGTTTCAGCCAGCCTGTTTTAGTAGACACGCTGTACTAGGTTTCCCCAAATTTCAATTCCATCCATGATTTGTGTTTTTCTCAAGGAAATCAGACTTGTTGCCTCAGTGTGCTGTATCTCACAGGTGCCTTCAGGACCTATAATATCGAAATAAAATTAAAATATTTAGCAATTTAGCATCAAAATTGAAGTGGGTGGTTGACCTTAATTTTTTGCAAATACAAATTTTTTTTTATTAATTGTTCTCTTTGTTTTGTTTCAGCTTGTTAGATTAAACAGTTTCCGTGGCTGGTGTGGTAATAATGTAGAGCCTGGAACCAACTGGATTTTGTTAGATTTAAAAGCTCCAACTGTCATCCGTGCTTTCAGAACTCAAAGTGTTGCCAGAGGCAGTGGCAGTCTTGCCTTTACCTCTGCTGTTCGCATTCAGGTACATTATATTGTTCAATTTTGGGTATGGAGACATCTTGCGATCAATATCAACATCAACCTTGATATATTTGAAAAAAATGGCAAATCAGTAATTTTTATACTGGAATACATATTAGCAGATTTAATTTAGTCACAAAGCTTTGGTATTTCATCGAAAAACAGGGATGAAAAAATTCCTGCTCTCCCAATCTGTTGATGGTTTAAACGTGAGGTAAATTTGAAGCAATTTTCTGAGGTGATGAATTTTTTTTTGCCTACTACTTAAGAAAATGGATAAAGTTGCACATTTTGCTGCAAAACTGGTATTTCATCATAAATTTAAATATTTTTCTGCAAAAAAATTGACCATTTCACCATGAAATCAGACACTTTTCCGCTTGGAAATTCGGCCATTTTTCCATAGAATTAGACATTTCTCAGCTGGGAAAATCAACAATATGAATGTGGGGCAAACATGCTAGATCCCAGCAAATGGTTAGCATTTTAGATTCTTTTTTTTTTTTTTTTTTTTTAAGCCTTGTTGGAAAATATGGCTGGTCAATATAATTTTTTTTTTTTTGCACCAAAAATTTGCATTGACTTTTTCTTTTAGGATTGTTATCAACATGCACACCTACACGAATAACAATTTTTATTCATTTATTCATTCTTTTCTTCCCTGCCTTGCAATTTAAAAAAAAAAAAATTATTTAAGTAACCATTCTGTTCCTGTTTTAATCTATTATTTCTTATGTTTTCTTTACAATAGTATTCAGACAACTTGACTGATGTTTTCACGGACTACACAAATCCAGATGGAACACCTGTTGAATTCAGAATTTTGGAGCCAACTTTGTCAGTGCTCAACTTACCTGTGCCGATTGAAGCCAAATACATCAAATTCAAGATTCAGGTATCTCTCCTTACTTGATTTCTCTTCATTTGTTTTCTTCCGTAGCCGTCCATATTTGTTTAACTTTCGTATGCGTGAAGCATCCATTTCTTGCACAAATTTACCAATATTAATCTGTTTCATTTTTGTGGAATTGCTACAATTCCCAGTCTTTGTGCTTATTTTATCCTCTACTTATACAAAAATTTACCCATGAAGGAAGTCAGGACTGTCTAACACATTAACTTCCTCTATTGTATTTGCTGGAGGCAAATGCCATATTTTTCTTTTTCTTTTTAAACTGATGAAATTACTTACATTCATTCAAACTTTCTTGATGGAGGACTTTTTTCAAAATACATCAAATTTTCCTAGGCTTTTCCATCCTAAATGTCACTTTTTATTCATTTCTAGTTTTTACCACTTAGTTCCTGTTATCACCAGAGAGTTAAACCTTTTTAATCCTGGAAATAAGAAGTAGGCACATCAACTTCAGCTCTTTTAATGTATGAACATTTGTTATGAAATATCAACATACTAAAATAAAGTTTTCTCCTCCCTCTAGGACTACGTTGGTGCTCCATGTATGAGGTTGGAAGTTATGGGTTGCACTCGTCTCGAATGTATGGATGTAAATGAATGTCTCACGAACAATGGAGGATGTGATCAAAAATGTATCAACAGGTACTTACTTGGCAAACCTGATTTCTCTTACATCTGATTCAAGCCCTTTTTTTATTTAGCTAAGTTCGAGTCTATTTGAGCTTTGAAAAAGATTCTGGACCCTTCGTTTTGATTTCTAGGTTTAGGAGTTCCCTGAAAAGTGACCTCTTATAATTGACTAAGTCGATTTCGTTAGTTTCAAAAGTGTCTCATAGCTTTATCTCTTTTTAAGATGCTAATAATGATAAAAATTTGATAGGTTTATTGACAAGAAAAGATGTTCTGCTGACTTCTCTTGTACAGAGAATTAAAAAAAAAAAAAAAAAAAAAAAAAAAAAAAAAAAAAACTGTTGTAGAAAACTTGTCACAGAAATAAAGATACTATTCACGAAGGGCAACTTTTCTCTGGCGAAATTTGTATCTATCTGTTTTGAAAAGTCGGTTTTGAGACCACCATTCACTTTTTTTGAGAATCCTAAAATTTAAAGAGCTCTTAACTTCGCGTCGGCCTTTCTACAACTTTAAATGGAAAACTGTCAATTCTGTATATTTTGAACTTGATTTAACAGTTAAATGAATGCCTCCTTAACTTATTCATGAATATTTATTCTTATATTTACAGTCCTGGAAATTACTCATGTGTGTGCAATGTTGGATATGAACTGTTCACCCGCAACGGAACTGCTGGCTTCACGGTTGACCCATCTGAAACTGGTGAAAGAGATGGAGATGCGTACCAGCGTAACAAAACATGTGTTCCTGTCATGTGCCCAACATTACAAGCTCCTGAAAATGGAATCATTCTTTCAACCAAGGTAACTTCATTGTTCCACCATTTCACAGACCTTCTGTTAATTCTTTTCAATTATTTGTTCTGAATTCCTCAATTAATAAGTTTATCGCAGTTCAAAGTATGTAAGGTCAAGAACAAACTTATAAGAGGACTTGGATACAATGTAAGAGGTATCTGCTCTATTTCTCCAAGAACTTTTATCTTCACTTATAATGAATGCTAAGTTCCGTTCAGCTGTTACTTTTTTGACAGCTTGGAGCCTGAAAGTTACCATGGACTTTAAATCAGTCTTTGAATAAATTTTGATGTTTGTCAAACATAGAATCCTGCATCGAATTTTGGATTAAATTGTAATACTTAATTAAATAAAATTGTGTATGAAAATTCGTACACATTCTATATGAACGTAGTGCCCTCTTAAGAACTTTCATTTCCTTTGCAAAAATTGGTTTCCTAATACAAATTTTTAGAGACAATGCAGGGCTTTCCTCCCTTTTTTCTGGAAAGACCCATGGCTTAAAGAACTTAAGTTATGATGCAGGTAACAAGAAAATTATGTTTTTTTTTCCAATTATTTTTCTAGGATTCATATCATTTCGGAGATCTTGTCAGCTTCCAATGTCAATTTGGTTTCGTGATGGCTGGATCTGCTTCACTACTTTGCACCTCTGGTGGGGTCTGGAATGGCTCAGTACCTCAATGTCAATGTGAGTGTTTTTTTGAATATTTCTCTTTGTTACGATATCGGTAAGTGCCCAGAGAACTGGAGTTCAAGCAACCTTCATTGACCAGTGTAAATTTTGATCAGTTGAACTGGAGTTTTAAACAGAATTGGGCTTTATGACTGTGAATTTTATGGTGCGATTTGCATGATGTTAAGATGCCACTGATGCATGACCAAGAATGCAAGGGCTCATATTACGCATCATACTTTACCGAAAGTAATTTTACTTATCTTTTGGTGCAAAATATGAAGTAAGATGGGGTGGGGGAAGCAACTTCAACTTAGTGAAAAACCCTGCTTTGTGCGCAAAAAGCTTTTTTCTCAATGCCTACTCATTTAATTGGAATTAACTTAGTATTGAACGGAAAGAAAATCTTGGTACGAATATTTGTAGAACTACATATTCAATACTTATAAAGCCAGGCGCAAATTAAACTCAAAAACTGTAAGTTTGTCCCTTAATTTATCCATGCTAACCATGATCTCTTAATTTTGTAACAGATGCCAAATGTGTATCTCTTCCTGACGACAAACAAGAGGGTCTTTCAGTTATAAGGAAAGACAAGGAAACTGTTTTAGTCCCATTCAAGGAAAATGTCACTCTTCACTGTGGCAGCAATGGCCGTCATCTGAGGCACACAGCAACATCTGGATTCAGACAATGTGTTTATGATCCTAAGCCTGTAAGTTATTTCCTCTGTATTTTTATCTTAGTCCAAAATCATGATTATTATGTCAACTATACGTTATGGTCATATTTCAATGTAAAATATGGTAAACTTCAAGTTATCCAAACTAATGCGGTAGTATTCTGGATCCAATAAGAGAAAATTCAAATGATTTGAAAGTTATCATTAACTAGCTTATTTTGAAAGTTTCAAGAAATTAATTTATCTTCAAAGGGCATTGAGTAAATTTAAGATTTAGTAACTGGATATTAAGTAATGTAAGGATGTATATGAGTTGTGAAACAGTTATGTATTTGCTGTTTTGTAGTAAATTAAGCAAGGGTGATCTGCCAAATTTATACAAACATCAACTCTAATATTTCTCCCTGAGCATTTCAGAATCAGAAGTTTTCATTGAGTGCAAGTTTATTCTATGAATTTTGAAGGTCTAGCGTTTGAAGGCATCATCAATTACTGTTTTTTGTCAATTCGTAGGGTTACCCTGACTACTGGTTGTCAGGCATGCCGCCAGCATGTCCAAGAGTGGATTGTGGTGATCCAGTTGCTACACCAGGTGCAGAGTATGGAAACTTCATCGACACCCGTTTCCAATCCTCCTTCTTCTTCGGATGCCAAGATACCTTCAAATTAGCAGGCCAGACTGATAGGAATGATAATGTTGTCCGTTGTCAAGCTAATGGAATTTGGGACTTTGGTGATCTTCGTTGCGAAGGACCCGTGTGCCAAGACCCTGGTAGACCCACTGATGGATACCAAATTGCCTCAAGTTATGAGCAGGTATGTTGCTTTTATTTATTTTTTTTTTTTTTTCAGTTTATCTACTCGCCTGTATGTGTACCAGCGCTAAACTATAGAACTACCAGTAATTTTTCTTCACCCTAGTGAGAAAAAACTCAGAAACTTTCAGGCTTATTTGTGTGACAGTTTCCCTGTGAAAAATAAAATGTTTGTCTAAATACTGAAACAGTGCAGACAAGATACCTTCCCTCAAGCGAGAGGCAACAATTTCCTTATCTTTGACGACAAAACCTGTTTTTTATATGCCTTTAAAACACGATTTGCTCAGCAAAATTAGCACTGGGGTTATTGAACTTATTTTTGCAGTTTATATCTGCTCATTTGACAAGAAGAAATAAACAATAAAAATTTGGCTTGAGCACTGTAACAAGATGGTAGAATAGTGCTGGGTCTACAGTTTTCTCCAGGAAATGAAAGATGAAAAATCCAAAAATTAGCATTAGAGTCACAATTAATATTGTCAAATTTTCATCAGCTCTTGATATTCCTTCAGGGTTTGCATCTGAAATTAATGATTATCTTGTTCCTTTCACCATTGCATCATTAATCCATTATCTAATTACCTCTGTTAATAACTTTTCAGGGCTCCGAAGTCCAGTTCGGCTGTAGTAAACCAGGTTACATCTTAATCAACCCAAAACCAATCAGTTGTATCAGAGAGCCAGAATGTAAGGTCATCAAACCCCTCGGTCTTGCCTCTGGAAGGATTCCTGATTCAGCTATCAATGCCACTTCTGAAAGGTAAAGTATCATTAGCATTGTAGTTAAATGACAGTTTCCCCTGCGGAGATCTTATTGTAATGTATGTATTGTAAAATTAAAAAATGAAACCAAGAACATATCTCAAATGTGGATGAAATTACCATCACTCTAAATTTCCATATCCTCAATTTTCTTTTTGTATTCCAGTCAAATTCCCTGTTTTTATCCAAGTCAGGTTCCTTTAGCTCTTATCACTCTGTTACATTCTTGACAAGTAATAATTGGACAGAGTCTAACCGAAGCGCACCAAGTTGCACCAAGTTTGAACCAAGAAAATGAGGTTTGAAATTTTATTCATCCATAACACTTAATGTAAAAGACAAAGTTTAACAATGGTTTTTACGTTTAAAATACTTTTTTCGACTTCAAATTTTTAATAGGAGAAAATGTGCAATTCATGAAATTCGAAACTATTTCCAACCCATTTTTTTCTAAAATGCGACTGGGTGCGTTTCTGCTAAACCTGGTCTAATTTGTTTCTCTTTGTGTTTTATGCTAGTTCACACTTGATCATTCAGCTTTCCTGCAGTTTACACGGAATCCTTTCATTCTTAGCAAAATAGAACTCTGCTGAACGATTGAAAAAAGTAGAAACTCTTAGTATTTCTCCAAATGTATCGTATAAATTTATCATTATCATTTAACAATAGCCATTATTTTTGTAGCATAAAGCAGAAAGAACTAAGAAAATGTTGTTTCTTTTCAGGCCTAATTATGAAGCAAGGAATATCCGTCTCAACTCTGTGACTGGTTGGTGTGGAAAGCAAGAAGCTTTTACGTACGTCAGTGTTGATCTTGGCCACGTCTACCGAGTTAAGGTAAGTTTTTATTAAACTAAAAACAAAATGAATCAAATTTTCCAACTCTTTTCCCTCTTCTACAACAGCGTGTTGACCAATTTTCATTTTGCCACTTTGTAATCAAGGATAAACCTTTCCTCTAAATTCCCAGACCAAAGAAAAATTGCTGCAGATCATGCAGTTCAAAGTTGACATGCAAAACTTTTCAATCCTGAGCTCTTAGGTTCTTTATCTTTTTAACAAAGGAAGCAATTAATGTTTCTTCTACCATTGAATTAATGTTTCCTCTAACATTCAATTGATATTTCTCCTAATATTCTGACAACGAAAGTGCTTTTCAGCAGAAACTTAAAATAGGTACCTATGTGAAATAGGGAAGATGCTGCCACAAACTGAAAGAATATTCAAATGTTTAATGCATGCTATTGGGACTTCAGTAGGACGTCATTTTCCTCGATCGGGGGTGGCGACCGCCACTCTTGATGAACTTTAAATACATTTTAGTGCAAATTATGCCTCAATAGTTGTTTCAATTTTTAATAGATATATTCAGAAAGTTGCATGTACACTGGGTATCGTTGGCTCAAAGATTGAAGTTTTTCTTGCGCCCTGAAAGATGAGTTACCCCTGAAGTTAATAATTTTTTTCTCTTACAGGCTATTCTAGTCAAAGGTGTTGTAACAAATGATATTGTTGGTCGACCAACGGAAATCCGATTCTTCTACAAACAATCTGACAATGAAAACTTTGTTGTCTACTTCCCGAACTTCAACCTCACAATGAGAGACCCAGGAAATTATGGTGAACTGGCTTTGATAACCTTGCCAAAATATGTTCGAGCAAGATTCGTCATTTTAGGTAATTATATGTCAATCCGTATTTTTTGTGTGCATTAATTTGTGCAAACCATTCTGAGGTAACCTCTTTATTCTGGAAAAAAGAACTACGCAGCTCACTTTACCACACTAAGTCAAGCGGTTGGTTCATCATCTTTTATTATCATTCTTCTCTTTCCACTTTTTTTGTCGTACATACACATGGAGTTTTAAATAACGTTTGTCTTTGACTCCAAAAAGTATGGTATTGATGTTGATAAAGAACGGTATATTTTTCAACCAAAAAAATTTCCATGGCAGTTAAAAATTGATTTCATCAAGACAGCCTTTACCAATCCAATTCACAATTCATTGATAAAAACAAAATTTTATCTCTTTATGGCTCACTAAAATTTAATGGAATATCCAAACAACTGTATTAATATTTTATCTTTCATCTTTCAGGAATCGTTAGTTACATGGACAATGCTTGTCTGAAGTTCGAGCTGATGGGCTGTGAAGAACCAAAAACTGAGCCTCTTCTTGGTTATGACTATGGATATTCACCATGTGTGGACAATGAACCACCTGTTTTCCAAAACTGCCCCCAACAACCAATCATTGTCAGGCGTGGACCAAATGGTATCGAACCTGTCAATCTCACAGAACCAGTCGCTGTGGACAACAGTGGTAGCATTGCTCGATTAGAAGTGAAACCCCAGAGCTTCAGAACTCCCTTGGTCACATTCCATGATGTGGCTGTCAAATATGTTGCTTATGATTTTGATGGAAATGTTGCAATTTGTGAAATCAACATCACTGTGACAGGTTAGTTGGTTTTTTTAGTTTTCTATTCACCCGCTACCCACAGAAAGAAAGAATGAAATGTAATAACCATAAGATCTCACAACTGCAGGTTACTGCAAATTTAATGCTACCTGTCAATTGCACCGATGATTCACACTTCATGATTAGTTATTGAAATTGACTTTCAACCTAGATATCAATGTTTTTATTCTGTACTGGTTACAGAATTTGAATTTCCTGCTTTCAAGAAAAATCAGAGTTTATGTGAGTCAAATTATGCATTACAGCAGTTTTGATATGAGATCTAATTTAGCACTGTTTCTTACCGTCCTGCAGGCCAATTATTGAAAGTTTAAAGCAGCCTGATAAGACATTGAATTGCAATATATTGCATGGTTAAGATATATGGTATATATTGCATGGTATGTCTTGTTGTTTCAAGCCGATATAAACTCAGTAATCAGGCCGCTGTATTGTTCAAAGTTTAAACAACTTGTGATGGCTGAGCTGAGATTGAGGTTGCCATATTTCAACACTGAAGAGACTGTTACGGTAATGTTTAGTGTACAATGTACTGTTTAGTAATTACTTATTAAGTTACCATTTTCCACATCTGCTCATACATTTTTTTCCTTTCATTTTTCAGATGAGACCCCACCAATGTTGAGCTGCCCTCAAAGCTACGTGATCGAACTGGTAGACCGCCAAGACAGTTATGTTGTCAACTTTAATGAAACCAGACGAAGGGTGAATGTTTCAGATGCTTCAGGCGAAGTCACTGTTGCATTCGTCCCCAATCAGGCCACAATCCCCATTGGAAACTTTGAAAATGTTACCGTTATTGCCACCGACAAATATGGCAACAGAGCAACTTGCCACTTCCAGGTGTGTATCCGTGAATAGATCTATCAAAGCATGTCTTATGTTAAAAGATAGCGTTTCTTCACTGGCTTAGTTTATCAATGGTTAAATTTTTTTCTTTCTCCAAATGGCACTTGTGATACTTTGGCTGGTAGGTAACAAAATGCCTTGCTGATTTTAAAATGGTTAATTCTGCTGTCTGCACAAGCCTTCACGTCGAAATTATTAGTGCAGTCAATAGTATCAATGAAAACGATAAATTAACCTATTAGACTGCATTCATGCCAAATCCAGATGTATGCATCTGCCCACCCTTTCCTAATTTTACTCAAACCTTTGATTCCTGGCTGCTCACTGAAATTAATGAAGCCTGGTCCAAGACATCCTAATTACCACAAATAGCCTCTTTAAAATATGACTGTGTATTGTATATTGTGAGGTACTAGCTGGGTGAATATCACACTAATGATTCTTTAATGGAAAAAACATGATGGCAATCCAATATCTGATAGAAAAACATAATCGTCAAATGCTTAACTCTTTCAATGAAATTAATATTCTTAAAATGTATGTAAGGACCAACCTTTTAATCTCGCATATTTTTCTTTGTTCTCCTATAGGTTTCTGTTCAAGCAACTCCATGTGTAGACTGGGAACTAAAACCACCAACAAATGGTGCTCTGAATTGCCTACCTGGTGATAAAGGATTACAGTGTATCGCAACTTGTAATGAAGGCTATCGCTTTACAGACGGGGAGCCAGTCAAAACATTTAGTTGTGAGCACAAGAGCCCATGGTCACCCACATCAGTTGTGCCAGACTGTGTGTCTGAAGACACCCAGCAAGCCGATTATCACGTTGTTGCCACAGTTAACTACCGTGCTAACGGAGCTGTAGCTTCCCTTTGTTTGCCACAGTATGCTGACTTACTCTCACAGTACTTCCCCAGTCTGAATGCCATTCTGACCCAACGCTGCTCAGCCGTAAATGTGAACATGAATGTTTCATTCTTGGAAGCTAGATCAACAATGGTGGAAGAGAACGTCGTCCAGATCGATTTTATTCTTGGAATCATGCCTGCTGTTCGCCAACCTCAGCTTTATGACCTTTGCGGCTCCACTCTTAACCTGATTTTTGATCTAAGCGTGCCCTATGCAAGTGCTGCCATTGAACCTCTGCTCAATGTGTCCGCTATCGCAAACCAGTGTCCACCTTTGAAAGCCCTGCGCTCTGCCATTACCCGTGGTTTCACTTGTAATGTTGGTGAAGTTTTGAACATGGATGTGAATCAGGTGCCGCGGTGTCTTCATTGCCCTGCAGGAACATCGGCCGGAGTGAACCAAAAATCTTGTACTCCTTGCCAGCATGGATATTACCAGAACAAAGACAGACAAGGAGCTTGCATTCGATGCCCAATGGGAACATATACCAGAGAGGAAGGATCTAAGAGTCTCTCAGATTGTATTCCTGTTTGTGGTTATGGTACTTACTCGCCAACTGGACTCGTTCCTTGTTTAGAGTGTCCAAGAAACAGTTACACAAGTGAGCCACCGACCGGAGGATTCAAAGACTGTCAAGCTTGTCCTCCCAGCACGTACACATACCAACCAGCAGCACCAGGAAAGCAGTTCTGTCGAGGTGAGAATGCTCAAATGTTTCTATTTCACTATCTCACTATCAGTCACTTGCAAATTTCTTTTTTTGTGTCCTACCATAATGGTGTTTAGATTAGCTTTTTACTCAAGTAAAATGAAAATTTAATTTTTTTAAAAAAATGTTTCCTCATATTATTTGTATCATCAAATGAGACATGCAAGATGTAATTTCCAGATAATTGTAAAAATTTGAATTTTTTAATTCCTCTCAAAATTCTTTTATAAGTCTTGCCCAGCTTGAAAGAAAAGATCTGCAGAAAGTATCAATGTTCTAGTCCCTTAAATCCGAGAAATTTTTTTTAATTTCTCAAAAGTGTGGTACATCTCACATTTTTTCTATTTTTGCGATTCATATTAATTCAGGGTTTGATTTGAGAGAAACGCTGTTAAGATTATGATAGCATAATAATTTGTATTTGTAGTTTATTTTTTAATTAAAATGAAATTCTTCCACTTCTCCAGCAAAATGTGCTCCTGGACAGTACTCAGAAACTGGTCTATCGCCATGTGCTCCTTGCCCTCCTAACTTCTACCAACCTCTCAGCGGACAAACGCAGTGTCTAGAGTGTCCCACCAATATGCGAACGAAAGGCTCTGGAGCATCTGGAAGAGATGAGTGTCAAACCATACAATGCACCGAAAATTCTTGTCTACATGGTGGTCTGTGTGTTCCCATGGGTCACGGTGTGCAATGTTTCTGTCCAGCCGGCTTTTCAGGACGCCGCTGTGAAATTGATATCGATGAGTGTGCCTCCCAACCTTGCTACAATGGTGGTTCTTGTATTGACTTACCCCAAGGCTACCGCTGTCAATGTTTGAATGGTACGTTTTAGAGAAAATTCTAATATTCAAATCACTTCTCTCACAGAAAAAATTATGCTAATTGAAGCATAACTAATATTCTGCAAAGTTATAGAACTTTAAAACTTTCGTTAGGAATGGCATCTCAGCCCAAGTATTTCAAAATCTGATCTCATTTTCAACTCATCATACTGTAGCGACAGAAGATTGATTTTTCACAGCATCATTGTATTCTTGATATTTTTCTGGGCTCTGATAAATATACTCGACATGAAAAGCATTCTTAAAAAGTGAAATAGAACGAGAGCAAATAAATCATTTTACGTCTCCAGTTTTTATAAACCTACAAATGCTCTTTTAAAAGAAGCCTTTTGAATGAAAAAAGCAGAATAGCTTATCTCATCGAACAATTACTGCTCAAGAAAATAGAAAACAGGTATTTTTTTTTTTTTTAATTTCGGTAGTAGATTTCCATGATAGAGCAAAATTATTGTAGACATTCATCATATAACCAAAGAACATCTTTATTGTGGAGAATGTCTTCCTTTTTTTTACAAAAGGTTCTTTATGCTTTCACAGGATACAGTGGAATCAACTGTCAAGTTGAAAAATCTGACTGCCGCAACGACTCTTGTCCTGAACGTGCTATGTGCAAAGATGAACCTGGAGTAAACAATTTCACTTGCCTTTGTCGCTCTGGCTACACAGGCATCAATTGTGACATCACGGTAATTATTTTCCTCTGAAGTGGACATCCTTTTTTTATAATTTTTAGGTCAAGTATTTAACATGAAAAATTACTGCTTTGAACTTCTTGCTTTAAAAACTTGTCAGGGTGTTTACAGGTTTGGAGAACCTAGAATTGACAGGGGATTTTATCGATTCAGGAGAAGCAGGGAAAAGTCAGATAATGTTACAAAAAAGGCTAGAAATTTGATTACTCTTGAAACTTAAAAAAACACTACTGCTGTCAACACAATCAAACTATGTCTCAACCTGGTTCAGGGTTTAATACTCTGATTTAATTCCTGAATGCCAGACAGAGGAATAATTTGCCATGAGGGCAATTTTAGTCAATATCGAACGATTGAAAAAAAAAAGGCTCACTTGTTCCGGGCATTCACAGTGAAGTGAATGCCGAAAATAATTGTTCATTTACAGTACTAAGCATGCAAATTGTCGTAGTGAAAAGTTAGAGAATTTTGATCTTTTAGCTCTGGGACAACCTGGAACAGTCAGAGAATTTTCTCCTGCTGAGTCTATATGTATAGACACCCTTCTTTTTTACGCCCAAAATGACAGATGGAAACTTTATATTGCTATACAAACTCAGTATTGGTCATTAGATAGGATTGTAGGAAAATAGCACCATGTAGATGCACTGCTTTTGTAGAGGCTTGTCTCTCAATAGTGCTTGACGTTACTCTAGTTCTGATTCTCTTTGAATTTTAGATTGATCCTTGCACAGCCAATGGAAATCCTTGCAAAAACGACGCAACCTGTGTTGCACTGAAACAAGGCCGTTACAAGTGTGAATGTCTACCTGGCTGGGAAGGCCAACACTGTGATATCAATATCGGTAAGATATTTCATACATATACATTACTTTCTTTGGATTATAATTCTGCGAGTTGGAAGGAGGCCTTGTTTTCAATTTATTATTCTCCTTGACTTTTCAAGTAGTTAGATTTGCTGTCTAATGTTGCAACCTCAAAATTTCCTGGTCGTATTAAGATTTATTTCACATCAATCGTTATGCGTAAAGTTTAGCAATGAGCAAAATTACAACATAAGTTAAACTTGCACAAATTTTAGGCATGCTGTTAACATTACAACAGGTGATGTTGAAGTATAGCTGTTGGAAAGAGCGCCCTTAAAACCTCATTTCTATGCTGTTATATGAAATTGGTTACTTTCCATACACTTTACTCTACTACTTTTACTCTTTCATACACTTCATCAAATCGAGAGGTTGAAATTGAATAATTTGATCTTTCATTACAGATGACTGTGCTGAGAAACCTTGCCTACTAGGAGCTGAATGCACTGATCTCATTGCCGATTTCAAATGTACTTGTCCACCTGGATTCACGGGCAAGCGCTGTCAAGAGAAGATCGATCTCTGCTCAGACAATCCTTGTGAACACGGTGTTTGTGTTGACAAGCTATTTATCCACCAATGTATCTGTCATCCTGGTTGGACTGGAGAAGTTTGTGAGATTAACATAAATGAATGTGACAGTTCGCCCTGTGAGAATGGCGGAGAATGTATGGATCTCATCGATGGATACTCATGCTCTTGTGAATTGGGATACACCGGAAAACGCTGCCAGCATCTGATCGATGATTGCGCCTCTGCACCATGTCAAAATGGAGGATCTTGTGTCGACATGCTGGATGGGTTTATGTGCAACTGCCGCCCAGGATTTGTAGGTAAGAGAAGGATAACCTCGAGTTAAGCAACGAATCAAAAATGTGTATTTCAATTCAAGATGTTGTAGACTTCCTGCTATAATTATTTTTTAAATGGAAATTCTCCCAATCTTATTTCTTAAAAATATTTCTGACTTATCCTCTTTCTGTGAAATTTTCAAGCAATAGTGTCGGTTTGTCCACTTTTTTTTCTTTTTTATTGAAGTTCCGGTCCGGCATTGAGATGGAATTCATGTCCCACTATCTTACTTTTCCTTTTTCTATTAAGGCTTCATCAGAGTCAGGACTCTAGTTAATTATGCCTGAAATGAAAAGTCAAGTCAAGTATACTTAGACTTGTAGATTTTATAATAACTACGTATCACCATGAGATAAATAGTTGACAATTGGATTTTTTGATAGCAGAGGTAATAATAAATTCTTCTTTTGCTTAGGCTTACAATGTGAAGCTGAAATTGATGAGTGTTTGAGCGACCCTTGCAACCCTGAAGGAAGTGAAAAGTGTGTTGACTTGGACAACAAGTTTGAATGTCAATGTCGCCCTGGCTACACTGGAGCACTTTGTGAAGTAAGTTCAAATTTTACTTCTTAAGAAATAGGAGATATTAATCATGTTTGGGTTGCACTGCTTCATTACCTTTTAAATGCATATAAATCCCTTTGTTTCATCAATCATTCTCAAGTGTTTTTAAGGGAGAAGCTTTCAACAAACCTCCCAACAGCTATTGTTTCATTCCATTCTCCTTAACTTTGTTGACAGTATTTTGTGCAACATGCATGCGAACAAAAAGTTTTTGCATAGGAATTTAGTGTTGACTTTTTTGTATCAGTCAATCTTTAATTATTCTTCGCATTTGGATGGTACATAATAAAAAAATGTAGATTTTCATCTGAAGTTGAGGGATATTCATTCCATGTAGAATGCAGTGATCCTTTTAACCAAGTTTTTTTTGTTGATAATGCTAACTTTTTCTGCTTTTGTTCGACCAGACAAACATTGATGACTGTGCCTCATCTCCATGCATGAACGGAGGTATTTGCAAAGACGGAATTGGAAAGTTCACGTGTGATTGTGAACCTGGTTGGACCGGTCAGCGATGTGAATCAGACGTAGGTTCATGCCAGAATAAACCCTGCCAGAATGATGCTAATTGTATCAATCTCTTCAGAGATTTCTTCTGTGTGTAAGTACATATCATTACTTATTAAATGTTCGTTCCTAGATGAAAGACAGAAAAGCGAATAAGGCTCCCATCTGATTTTTATCATTCAGTCATTAAATTTACAACAGATAATTCTAAATTGTGGGGTGAAGACTTACTTTAATTTTGATACTCAACTTTTTCTGGGCTCGGAAATAACTTTGTCAATCAGTGGCTTGTCTTTTGGCAAATTTAAATAATTCTGACCTATAGTTCAAACAGATGTCAAAGCAGTCTGTTGCATCATTTTGCCTAATTTTGTCAAATTTCTCCAGGTACTAAGAAAGTTTCATCACTGACCAATTAATTTGGAGTCATACCTTTCCCTCTCTTTTTTATCAAGACTCAAGACTATATTGGCTCAGTCTACAAGTTATCTTAAATTTATGAATTAAATGTTTCAGGTGTCCATCTGGAACAGACGGTAAACAATGTGAAACTGCTCCTGAACGATGCATTGGCAATCCTTGCATGCATGGTGGTCACTGCCAAGATTTTGGTTCAGGGCTGAACTGTACTTGCCCTGTGGACTATGATGGTATCGGGTGCCAGTATGAGTTTGACGCTTGCAGAGCAGATGTCTGCAAGAATGGTGCTACATGCGTTGACAATGGCCCTGGGTACAAGTGTATTTGCCCTCATGGATTCACAGGTTTGTGTAACACCTCAACTATGAAAATTGAAAATCTTCGCAAGTAGATTAGTAAAAAAATATGTCAGAAATTATCACATAGATTGAATTTAAAGGACCTTCATTATTTAGCCTTGGAAATTTGAAAAATCAAAATCAAATTGTTTTCATGTAATGAACAGTATGATTTTTCAAATTTCCTCCCTCCGCCCCCTCGATAAGAGTTTCTGTTTCGGGGATTTACTTTTTATTTGTCGCATAGCCTCAAAATGAAAAGTTTCATTTCGAAAATTAATCAGCCACCTGAGGAAAGGAGGAGAGATTTGAAGGGTTTTTACGAAGGGCTATTCTAATGAAGGGTTTCTGTTATTTACCTACATCGTATCAGCAGTATTTTTCAGTCTTTTTTTGAAGGTTTTGATTTTTTGACTTTTTCGATATCTGAAGTGGCCCTCACCATGAATCATCAGATAATCAAGGCATTGCTATACTTGTGAAATGGCCGACTGAATGTAAGAAATGCAGCTCAGCCTAACTGTGGAGACACTTTTGTGAGCTCTCAATGCCTTGTTTAAGGTTATCTATTCTTTATTTGTGATTTAACGCTTCAATTTTGTTTTTCCTCCCTTCAGGTAAAAATTGTGATGAGGACATCGTTGACTGTCATGAAAACTCATGTCCACCAACAGCAACTTGCATTGATTTGACAGGCAGGTTCTACTGTCAGTGCCCATTCAATCTCACAGGAGATGATTGCAGAAAAAGTAAGTTTTTCACACTACACTCCTCTTGCATTCACAACATGTAAAGCAAATAACAACTTGTTATCGAGCTACTTAAGTGCCAAAAATTGAAAATTGTGTTAGACATTTCATTTGGTTCTAAGCGCCAAGTACTACATGATACGTAACAGGCTCGGTGCCACCAACGTAGTGCACCCTCGTTTTATTAGCCTAAGTGTATTACCCGTCCATTTTTTATATAATTCAATAACAAAACAATGTGTTCTTATTCTGTCTTAATTTTCCATTAAGCTTTTACATACCTTTCTGTCATTCTTTTCCAGTATCATTACTGTAAGCTCTCACTGTAAAGTTAAATTTTTCTCCGTAAGTTTTTTATATCTATCCGACCAATTTTTATGTTTATTGCAAATGACAGCTGTTTTATCTATTTTACCTTTATGCTCGTTTCTCTTTTCAGCAATTCAAGTGGATTATGATCTAAGTTTCCCCGAACCACAAGCCAGCAGTGCCGCTCTGAGTGTACCGTTCAGAATTTCTGGCAAAACTAGTTTCACCATTGCCATGTGGGTGCAGTTCTCCCACCGCGATGAACCTGGCGTCTTCTTCACCTTATACAGTGTGACGTAAGTTTCTTCTTTACAATTTATCGCATATTTTAGCTTTGCTTCAAATTATATAATCTGGAGCATTTTTCAATTTCCGAAATGAAAATTTTTATTTTAAATGTATTATCAGCTAAGTCTCACTGCTTCAAGTTTTTGTCTTGTTATGGTGATAAAGAGAACCACTTTAAGTAACTAAAATCAATACTTATTTTTATTTTTATATTCTTCTTTCCATAGATCTGATCATAGAGCAAGCGGAAGAAGATCGCTGGTCCAAGCTCATTCAAGTGGAGTTCAGGTTTCTCTCTTCCCCGAAATTCAAGATGTATTTTTAGCCTTCCAAGAGTATGCTACAATTAATGATGGTCAATGGCACCACATTGCCATTGTTTGGGACCAAGGAACTCTCACATTGGTCACAGAAGGACTCATTGCCAGCAAACATGAAGGCTATGGTACTGGAAGACAACTCCCAGAATTGTAAGTTTCTTTTTCATACTCCTGTGTTCAGATTTTTGTTTTTTCGTACTTCTTTACTTCCAAATACTTACCAAAAAGTATTATCATTCTAATTTTCAACTCTTGTAAGATTTTCAGAAGTTAAAAAATACATATTTACATATTTTCAAGGAAAACATTATACATTTTTCCAATTATGTATGTAACCACGCAGAGACTGTCAAAATTATTTTGAACGATTTTTTACTAGTACCATGTTGTTAAATAAAAGCATAATTTTCAACAGTAAAAGTATTAGTTCACATTAGAGGACAGAAAAATACTTCAAAGTTTAGTATCTGGTCAAAAATGGCTGATACATCCTTTTCAGCCATCATTTTTGTGACTAAACATCCATATTTTTTTTGTTTGTAGTGGCTGGGTTGTTTTGGGAAAACCAAGACCGGACAGTGCAAAGGCATATGCTGAAGCTGGTTTCCAAGGACATTTGACCAAGGTCCAAATTTGGTCTCGTGCTTTGGACATTACAAATGAAATTCAGAAACAAGTATGTTGTTCTTAGTTTTTTTGTTTTTTTTTCTTTGGTATTTTAACCACTAAAAATAAAAAAGAGCAAATTTGTAAAGATACTTTCCTGTACAAATTCCCTCTCTGTTTACTGCAAATAAAGAAAGAGTTTCAAATTGTAAACCCTTTGCAGATAGGGTACAAAATCTGGTGACCTCTAGAAGAAAAAATTTAAGACATTTTGGCTGTTTCTCATATCAGCACAGTATAGTTTAAAATATAAGATATAAAAAGTTACAAATTGATAACATCACTCGTACAGAAATGTAAAATTATGATATTGCTCGTCGGGACAGTCGCCGCTTTAATTTAATTTGCTTAAAATTCTACATATGAAGGCCAAATATTTTTGTGGTGAATAACATTCGTTCTTTTTTTTAAATTTTACTATGTTTAATGACACCTTCTTTTGGAGTACATACTCACATTCATATTTTTTTCAAAGACATCTACCTTTTTCTGTCCTCTCTCAAACATTAATTTTTAAATTTGCAGGTCAGAGACTGTAGAACAGAACCAGTTCTCTATCAGGGTCTTGTTCTAACTTGGGCTGGATATGACGATGTTGAAGGAGGCGTTGAAAGAATTGTGCCATCACACTGCAGTCAACACACCTGCCCACCTGGGTACACTGGACCACAATGTAATCAACTCCAAGTGGATAAGGTATGCAAATGAAATTATAAGAAAACCTAATTGGGGGCAAGGGTTGGGAATTAATGGATAACGGATATAGTATGGGGGACTCATATAATGGAGTATTGTAATATAATCATATTAAAGTTTATCAATCTCAAGAAAATCATCTACTTCATCTTCGATTGTTCATTTTGTTTAACCCTCCCGTTCATCAGGAAGCATCTGGCATTTGTTATCCTTGTATTTGAGCTATCAAAATTCATTTAAATAAAAAATTATTATTGCTCAATCAAAAATAAATTTTCTCGTTTTGCAATATATTGATCGTAAATTTTAATTTTAGCATGTTTTCAACTCACTTGAGATCTGCTTTTATGCTGAAGTAATCTGAATTTTAGGTGCTCTTCATTGGGTTAGATGCAAATGACAAATGAGGTGCAAATAATATGATAAATTGATAAATCCTTTTGTATGTCAGTATCCAGTTTAGTTTTTATAAATTAATGGTGTTCCTCTATCAAATCAACAGATGCCTCCCACTAAAGAGTATTGTCCTGGAGATTTGTGGGTTGATGCTCGAAATGGATCTGCAGTTGTCACTTGGGATGAACCGAGATTCACAGATAATGTAGGTGTTGTCAGAGTTGAAGAAAAGAGTGGTCACAGGCCAGGTCAAACTCTCCTCTGGGGAACTTACAACATTGCTTACGTCGCGTTTGATCAAGCTGGAAACTCTGCCACCTGTGCTTTCACCGTTTACGTTCTTTGTAAGTTTTTTGATGTAAAATTGTAACGTTCAGTACTGAATTTTGATTTATCTTGAAATTTTTTAGTTTTAAAAGGATGATGAAAAAAAGTTCAATTCTCATTCAAACTTGAGGCATAAAATCCATGTTAGCTCTACTCCTAAAATTCCCAGTTAGTTTTTAGATCTCTCATCTCACCCCCCTTTTTTAGTAGGCCAATATTTTTTTATATATATTTCCTTCAGATCTTGTAGTAGGCATTTATAATATATAATTTAAGCACGGACATAATTATATAATGTAAAAAATTATATTATTCACTTCTTTCACCCTACATCTGCTGAGTTAGGAATGCTGATTCTGTTTCCTTGGCTAGAAGAAGAACAGGGAATCCTACTACGTAATTCAATTCCTTTTAGGTTTGACTGCAACTTGCCCTTCACTCCACTACGCTACGACTAGGATGCTCTCTCCATGCTATTATGCTATGACCATTTTTCACTCATAGAATTTTTTTATTTCTTTTTGCTACAGCTGGTTTCTGTCCACCGTTGGCTGATCCAGTTGGAGGAACACAAGTCTGCAAAGATTGGGGTTTTGGCGGTCAATTCAAAGTCTGCGAAATTTCATGCAAACCGGGTCTCAAATTCTCCCAGCCTGTCCCGAAATTCTACACCTGCGGAGTTGAAGGGTTCTGGCGTCCAACATCAAACCCAGCCTTACCCATGGTTTACCCTGCGTGCTCAGGTACAATTAATCTTCTTTCTTTTGTTGCCCAAACATGTTTTTCTCGTTGGTCAAAGTTATATTGTTTAAACAGCTGCAAATTCATTTGTGGGTCTCAGTAATATTTTGTCTATAGAATTCAAAGATTTTATCTCAATTTTGGTTCAGTTTCTCATAGTGTTATATCAAGTTTAGAATACTTTACCAATGAGTGGATTGAAGAAAAAACATTTTTACTCAATAAAGATAAGCATAAAATGCCTTTAAAATTTAAGGATCAAAGTGCATTGATAGCAGATTATCCATAAAATAAATGATAGACAGTTTGATAGCTTCGAATGTTTCTGGGGGCAGTTTTTGACTACAACAATACTTTGATTATCCGATAATTTGTGGCAGAAGGCCTAGCCGGATATAGAAAATGCCGACTAATCGAAAATGCTTAAAAACTTATGAAACCTTTTTGTATGTATAGAAAAATGAAGAAAAAGACAATAGGACTAATGCATAAATGTGCCTCATTGTCGCGTCAAATAACTGACGCACAGGGTAAGTGATAATCGGATAATCAAGGTATTACTGTACTTTTATGAGTCTCTTAGACATTAAAAGTTGTATTATGTCACTAATTTTTCCTTGGTTCTTTTTCTCTTTTCATTGTAATTACTATACAGTATAGTAGCACACTGATTTGATGTCTTTTAATTTTTTTCTAGCTTCTTCACCAGCACAACGTGTTTTCAAAGTTAGTATGTTGTTCCCTACCTCAGTTCTGTGTAACGAAGCAGGTCAAGGTGTCCTCAGGCAAAAAGTTCGTAACGCTATCAACTCACTCAACAGAGAATGGAACTTCTGTTCTTATTCATTGGAAGGTATGTATGATTAAGATTAAGTACGGTACTTGAGTGGGAAAAATATGAGAAACGCAAATTACAGATTTTATTTCACATGCTCATTTCTCACTAAATTGACATTATAATTTACAAAAAAAGATGACCTCATCATGCCACCTAAGTTTCATTCGTAAAAAAATGAGGAGGGGAATTCTTTACAAATGTTTGTCGTAAGCTACGTTTCATTTAACTTTTAATCAGATTTTATTTTTGTAGCCCTCGCTTATTTACTGATATTCGATTTTTAAAGGATCTCATGCTCGCAAACTGTAATACAACTTTGGTATGTCTAATCTTTTTTGCAGGAACTAAAGAATGTAAAGATTTGAACATTGAAGTCAAGTGTGACCATAAACTCTCCAGACCTGGCAGGGATGTTGACATTTCTGGGGTTACTAGCTATGACGTCAATGCTGTATTCCCAATCGTACGGTAAGTCTACCTAAGATGCCACCATGAACTTTTTTATTTGGTCAGACAAAGTTTCTACCCATCTGTTCAACAGTTTTGTCAACTGATTTCCAATTAATATCTGCACATATCAGGCATGTTCCTGATAGCACCACATTATGACTTTGATAGTGGAATAGTTTTGCACAGTCAAGTTGAGCATGAGTATTTTTACAATTTCTTTTATCTCTTATCCACAGTTACGTATTTCATCTTGTGCATGTTAAATATGTTTCATGGTGATGTTGTCAATCCGTATAGGAGCACCTCACATGTTTCAGCACTTATTTGAATAGTTTTTGGAATTTATTCTATGCAAGTCTCAAAAGTAATTTTTATCCTTTTGTTGGTCTGTTTACTATGTTATCAAGTTCTTTAGTGTTTTCCTTCTCTTCTTCTCTGATGTCCATCTCAACCAAGAAATTTAAAGGTAATCCAGGGATAAGATGCGCCACTATGTTGTGCTGCTTCTTGGTCTGTGTTTTTGAGAAGCAATAATTATTGCAGTGTAAAAATTAAGGCAAGAAACTGATCCATGACATGTAGCAGCATTAATTCGGTGTATTATGACATCAAATTTGTGAAAAGTCATTGAAAATTCATATCAGAAACTACCATGGTGGACGTTGCTCATTGGTTTAAAATACAAGAGAGAGATATTACAATTCTATCTCCCTCTTACACCTTTAGTCAACAAGTAACGTCCGTCATGGTCAGTGTTCGAAACTCACTGGCGCCAACGCACCAAATGCGCCCAATAAATCGGTCATGGCGCCTAAAAAATGAAAACTCTGCGCCAACGTGGCCCCCTAAAAATTGCCCTCCCCCCCTCAAAAAAATCCTAATTTTTCTGTTTGGTGATTTTTTGAAATTTCGACGCACGGCACCGTATTATGGCACAGAAAGTTAGAACTTTTTACTAAATGCGCCATGATATATGGGCAAAAAGTCAATTTGGCCCCTAAAAAATCTTCAATGGCCCCTAAATATCGAGCTTGATGGGCCGCGTGGCTCCTGAAACTCAAATGTGAGTTTTAAACACTGGTTATGGTAGTTTTGAATGAAAATCTTCAATGAATTCTCGTTTTGCTGTCATACTTCTGAGTATTAATGCTGCTAAACGTTGCTAATCAGTTTCTTGCCGTAATTTGTACAATACAATAATTATTGCTTCTCAAAAACACAGACCATGCAGCAGTGCACTGTAGTGGCGGATATCATCCCCAGATCACCCAGATTTACTTTAACCTCCAGTTTGCACTTAAAACATCGGTTCCACAACTATCTCTCTCGACCCACCTGGCCTCACAAAACATCTATCCCGGTCTAACATGAACTGTCCCCTCATTCTCACAACCCAAAGCTACCCAGTCAGTTTTCCTCATTCTTTCAAACTCTATCTTTTTCATTCAATCATTCATCAATAGCACTTATTACCTTGTAGTCGTAGAGTTTGGATTTTTTCTTGCCTGTTTTGCCTGATAACTCAGTTTGGTGTCTATTTTTGCATATAGGTCCAAGAGACAAGCAAGTGATACATACAGTGTCCAAATATCATTCCCAGCAACCAAGTAAGTATTTTCTTCCCCCGTAATCGATTACATATAGTGAAGTGAATTTTCGACTTGAAACCCTCATATTTAGGACCTGAAGTTCAGTGTAATTTATTGAATGGCTCTATCTCCATTTAAAGGAAATAAGAGAAACATAGACTTGCGAACATGACAAGCAAGTTTCTAAACTTGAGGATTTCTCAGGGCTGTAATCTAGCTTGAATAAGTTATTTGTCATCACTCAAAGTTCTCCAAGAGGCTCAGGAAGAAAATTTGCTTCATTATCTCCATGATAGTGCATGATTTCTTTTTTCACTTTATCGCACCAAATTAAATACCAGTAGTATTTTCCTTCATTGTTTCTATCTGAATGATTTTTATCAATATAAAGATTCTATTCCAAATTCTTCTACCCAATTTTTAAACCTGGCGTTTTCCCCAGGGTGATATTAGGATTTCTCATTATGTACACATTTTTTTGATCATTCTCTTTGATGAAAATAAAGATTTCAAAACTTTAAACCCAATAGTAAAAAGCAAGAACAAGACAATGCTGTGCAAAAAATTGCTGCCTTTAAGTTAGAATTAACCGTCAATGGTAAAAAAGGTCGGAAATGTCATGCTGGAATATCGATTAGCATTTTTCAGCATACTGTAATCCAACCATCCTTTAAGTTTGCAAAAAAAAATTCAAAAGATGGGTAATACAATTGAAAACTTGACATCATTAAAAAAAGTTTCAAATAATGCTTCAAATGGGGGTGAGAAAAAAAAAACGAGTATAACTCAGTATCTTATTTTATTCTGCTTCCTTTTCAGTGATCCTGTAATCAACCAGAACTCCAACCTGAAATCAAGTGTTCAAAGGCTTCTTGAAAAACTCATTTTAGAAGAGGACCAATTCGATGTTCACGACATTTTGCCCAACACTGTCCCTGATCCAGCATCATTGAGTTTGCAATCAGACTACGCTTGTCCTGTTGGACAAGTTGTAAAAGCTCCTGAATGTGGTAAGTTTCAGCAATATCCTTTTCCAATTTCATCTTCTTTGGCAAGCACCCTTAACTTTTTTTCCAGTTTATCTGGACAAAATGCATTTTCTTGTTTTTCTCGGTACAGTCTGGTTTTGCAAATGATTTTTATTCTATGTACACTCAATGTATTTTGAGTATTTGATTCAACTTTTAAGTCTTAATCGTAGAAAAATCTGCGCAACTCCTCACTTGTAGTTTGTTCTTGCAACTCTTGTTTGAGCAAACAAACAGATGTATTAAGGTATGGTTTGAACAGGCATAAAAATCAACTATTCAACTAATAGTTTTCAGGAGTTCAACCTGCAAATAATATCCTCAAAAATTATTATATTTTTTTTGCTTACTCGAATGTAGCTATTAAACAGAGTTTACACAGAACTCCAATTGAAACTAGCTACTGGCTTTAATCATTCGTACTCGTTCTCATCAACAGTTTGGTAAAACGATTTATTTCTTCTTTCAGTATCCTGCGCTGTTGGAACTTACTTCCACAAGGAGTCTCGCAGTTGTATCCCTTGTCCTGTTGGTACATACCAAAGCCAAAGCGGTCAACTTCAGTGTTCAGTATGTCCTGCAATTGCTGGACGCCAGGGCGTCACTATTGCTCCAGGTGCAAGAAGTGCATCTGACTGCAAAGGTGAGTCTTTTGATGTCAACTTATACACTGGATAGTACTCAATTTAATTGGACTGAGTTTAGCGGGAAGGTTTCAACTTTTATGGCTCATTTTAGAAACCACATACTTGCCATCGATTTTCCTATACACATAAATACTGTCGCGAACGTGTCCATGAACTTGCAAGTAGTTCCTACCTACAGGACTCATAATCAGTCCAAACTGAATGACCCCCGCTAAATCCAGACAAAATTTTGTTTACCAAAACAGAAAGATTTCATGTTTCTTTTTTCACAATAATGAAATTAGATTCTCAAAATCTTACCTTAAGCTAGAGTAATTTCCAGAAAATTTTAGATTTTGGGTTAATTTTCATGTTACATGTGATACCAATTTAGGTGCAAAGCATGAACCCTGCTCCACTTGGATGTTAATGATGCTCTGACTTTAATAACTTTCTTGTCCCTCTTTTTTATTGAATTTCATTAGTTATTGCTTGAGAAAAATGAGTCACAGTTTTTGCATCAATTACACTCTGTGAATTTTTCTGATGTTTTAGTCATTTGTATCATGAATATTTTAATATTTTCAATATTTGATTTTATATTTTAGAACGCTGTCCTGCTGGAAAATACTATGATGATGAAGCTGGTCTCTGTCGAAGCTGTGGTCATGGATTCTATCAGCCCAGTGAAGGTAGCTTTAGGTGTCAACTGTGTGGACTTGGAAAGACTACCCGCACAACGGAGGCTGTATCTGCAGATGTATGTGAATTTCTAACTTTTATTGGTTGAAACTTTTTTTTCGAAAATTAGAAGAATTCTTTTGAATTGAAACTGCGGAGTTGTATTTAAACATGATCAAACAACAACACTCTACTCAGTTAGCAAAATTTGTGCTTTTCAACTGAATTGCAGACAAGTAGTGAGCATCTGCAAACGAGTGAGAAGATCACCTCTGTGAATTAATCCCATGGTGTGTACCGCAGTGAGCTTAATTTTATCCCCAATGCCCTGAAAAAACTCCAAGTAGATCCCTATAGTACTTAGTTACTTTTGAGGTAAGAAAAAAAAATCTGGTTGAGAAGTATATTTGAATGAGCAAATTTTATTTTACAGGAATGCCGCGATGAGTGTTCAAGTGGAATGCAAATTGGACTTGAAGGTCAATGTGAACCTTGTCCACGAGGAACTTACAGAACTCAGGGCGTTGAAGCAGCTTGTCAGAATTGCCCCAACGGACGCACCACTCCTAAAGTTGGATCAGCGACTGTAGAAGAATGCTCTCTCCCTGTATGTCTACCTGGTACATACTTGAACGGAACCTTGAACAGCTGTGTGGCTTGCAAAAAGGGAACATATCAACCATCCTCTCAGCAAACAACATGTCTACCTTGTCCTCCAAACACAAGCACCAAAGGAACAGCTGCTGTAAGTTCTTGTCTGAAACTCCTCTTTTTTCCCATTTCAAACCATCAGATGAAATCGACATTGATTACAAGAGTATCTATCAGTAGGTATGCAGCATTGCAGTGAAGCAAAGCGCTTAAATTTATCATTATGTTCTTCAGTGCCCTAGATTTCTCATAGATATCTTACAGCCTTCAAGTTCACTAGTGCTCTCAAAAAAGCTTTAACAGAACTTTTTTGTGCGACATATTATGTCTTGTATGTATGAAGCTTGTATGTGCTACATATTATGTCTTGTATGCAGGAACCTGCAATGCTTTTTTCACACAAATTTTTCAAAAAAAAACAAAGATTTAAGTTATTTATAAGAAAACAATTTAACTAACGGCAAATATGTTCCGATTATTTCTTCTGTCTGTTTCTTTTGTTCTTTTCTTCTTTTCTCTGTACAGGTTTTTTTTTAAAATTTTTCTTTCCTATTATTTTGCAAAAATGCTTGAATTTGGCTTTTACCACTTTCATTATGCCCAATTTAATTCCAGTTTTAATCAATTCCTTCTTATTTGCAGACAAGTAAAGCTGAGTGTTGGAATCCATGTGAAATGAATGGTCCTGAAATGCACTGTGATCCAAATGCCTATTGTTTGCTCATCCCAGAGACAAGCGACTTCAAGTGTGAATGCAAACCCGGTTTCAATGGAACTGGCAAACACTGCACAGGTGAGTTGTCCAGTTAATACCTTTTAAATTTTTCAAGTTGTCCTGGAGCATGAGTAAGGATCGGCGTCTCTCTTATCTTATATCCTTGATCGAGTATCAGTCATTATGAATTTCTGCAGAGAGTTCCAAGTCCCTAAGATTATCTTTAAATCTTTTCAACACAAAGCAGTGACTGTCTTTATCCCTAGCTCTTGAGGGATTTTTCTACTTAACTCTTGCCAACATAGTCCTAGCATCTGTTTAACAATTTTCACTTGTCCTATGGAACTTATCAAAGAATGATTGTCAAAAAGTGGACACAACATTTTAACCTTTACCTCCATTAGCTCTTCTAATATATTTAACATAGACTGTTTGACTAACTGCTTCTAATGTGTCTGTTTACAGATGTTTGCGCCGGATTCTGCGAAAACAAAGGAACTTGTGTCAAGGATAGTCGAGGACAGCCTTCTTGTCGGTGTGTTGGCTCTTTCATTGGCCCACATTGTGCTGAAAAGTCTGAATTCGCTTACATCGCAGGTGGAATCACAGCAGTTGTTATATTCCTAATTATTATTCTGCTTTTCGTCTGGATGATCTGCGCCAGGTAAGATATTTCTGAACTTTCTTAGATATTTGGTATATTAGTGCCAAGATACATCAAGTTTATCACAATCCATTTTTATTCCTATATATTTACTTATTTCCTCTTGTCTATACTCTAACTTGGGTTTTTTCTTTGTTTCCCAATCAATCATCTCACAACCTGCCAAGTACCAAGTGAATAGGAATCTCAATGATTGTGTCAATTAAGTGCTCTGCAGCAGGTCCTATCTTGAGAATTTCCGAGACAGGGTTTCTTTGCCATTTAGAGTTAAAAAAATCTGAAAAATTCTGAAATATCCTAGACGCCTAGTTCGCTCTGCAATTTTAAAGAAATGAATTTGAAAAAATAGGTGCCAATGACCCATCGTGGTATGATTCAATGACTTAACTTCTGAGATATTTATTGTTTTTATTTATACCTGCAGATCGGAGAGACGAAGAGAACCTAAAAAACTAGTCGCCCAAACCAATGATCAAACTGGTTCTCAAGTTAACTTCTACTATGGAGCTGCTCCGTATGCTGAGTCCATAGCACCATCTCATCATTCAACATACGCTCACTATTATGATGATGAGGAGGATGGTTGGGAAATGCCTAACTTCTACAATGAAACTTATATGAAAGGTAAGTGCTTTTGATTCTCCTGTACAGTTGAAGCCCACGTTGGAATAACCACCCATAGGTTTATGGGTGACTATTCCGTAAACACTGTTCTCGAAATTATTGTGCCTTTGGGTATCGCTGATAGTAATGTCAAGCCGGAACTTTGCTTTTTCAGCTAAAAAATCCAATTTCAGAGAGATGCTGATCTATGAAGTAACTACATACCCATCTTGGCACTGTTATCATAGTATATTAATATAAAGTTATAATCCACATTTCCTTTTTCTTTTTTTTTCTTTTTTTTAGAGTTTTCATTGACTCTTGGAGTAAATCACGAATCACCCACAAATTTTTAAATTTTTGTTTTGTATAGGACCAATTTTTAATGAACATTAATTTTTTGTTTTTCTTCTCTACTCTAAGAATGTAAATTTATATATATACTATTTATAACTGTAAGTCATTTTCTCTAATTTCATAAGTTTTGCTGTATTTAGAAAAACATTTTATTGCTCATCAAACCTAGCCAAGATAGTTTCAGTAAATCAACGGAAGGATGAACTCAATTTAACAAAAATACCTAATTTAGAGATGAAGAAAATTTGTATCACTTGAATTCCAATTCAGAGATAATCTAAGTGTTTCTTTATCCTCAATCTGTTATAGAGAGTCTACATAATGGAAAGATGAATAGTTTAGCTCGATCGAATGCAAGTATATATGGTAACAAGGATGACCTGTATGATCGACTGAAGAGGCATGCATATCCGGGTAAAAAAGGTAATTTTAATTTCTATTTTCAACATAACGGAGCAGTACTTATCTTTTTCTCTGTTTTTAAAACTCTACTTTCCACAACCTTTCCCTGTATAAGCTCCATCATTTTTAGATTCTCTACCCTCAATTTCAGAGTAAAATACCACAAACCTGACTTTCTTGTATATTAATACTTTTTTTATGGAGGAAAATCATTGTAATCTCTTACAAGGGTCTAATTCAAAGTTATTTCGTTGAAGTTTACTCAAGATTTGTAAAAATTGTCCTTCTAATGACGCTATTCTAGCATTTGCTATTCTGCTATTCTAAGAATCTCCTTAAATCTCCCTTAATCTCAATGTTAACCATATGGAGCCTTCTCCTAAGGAAAGGAGCTGTTAAAATAATGACCATGAATATGCCTCTATACTATCAGGTAATTTCTCTAGGAACCCATCCCAAAACAAGCTATTTTAACAACATTTATCCTGGAGATTTTAACAGTTTGATGTACGTTTGTTTCAGATAAAAGCGACTCCGAAAGTGAAGGCCATTAAACTACTGACTGATATTATGGCTGGCTACATGAAACCATTTTACTCTTAGTCAATAATACTTACTATTGAAGTGCTCAAAATTTTTAAGTGCATTGCATCTTGCAGTTTGCATTAATTTTCTCAGTCTTCGTCAACCTACTTTTGTTCTGTGGGTTTAGTATTTTCCCATTTTCTTTATTTTTATCACATCAAATTTTTTCAGCTGGTACCTATCATTTGACCATTTTCCCTAAAATATCTTCAGTACAACTTCAACCGAGTTTCCCATGTTTACTCATCGAAGATGAATTCTCAAGTTCCTCTTGTCAAATATAGCTTTTCTGTCAAATTTTGATGATACAGTGCCAAAAGGTACCAAGCAAAGGAAAATCTAAGCTCTGCAAAAAGTGAGTTAAATTGCGCTTTTCTTTGGGACTCAGTTGGGAGTTAGTGTAATGGAAAATGATGTGTATAGTTTATTGAAGTGAAAAAAGTATAGAAAATAGGGAGGTATTACCCCCAACAAAAAATACTCAAAAGACTGTTCTCAAGTTTGCTCATTATTTGCAATTTCATTTTTTCTCACCACTTGTTTGTTCTATGTTTGTAGGACAACTTGTTTTTGTTTATGTTATTATAACATAGCTTTGTAAATATTTCCATACTGTAAGCCTGGTGGTACTTCATTCTTTTATCATAGGAGCTCTCTGTCTTCCTATTTTCACCAATTCATCATCTCAAGATACATTATAAAAAACGAATTTTCAACAAAAAGTATGATTGGTACCGAACTGATGGCTAAGTCAACATTTGTCGAGATTGCCCTGATGACTTAATCCTTATTCATCAGAACTCAAAAATATTAAAGGCATTCAAACAAAATATTAACTGCCAGTTAACACAAACTGCTTGTCAAAAAAAGCTGCACAGATGGCAAATCCTCCACTGGTCTTCAATTTCCTTTGGTAACTGGTGTTGGGAATTGCCTTGGCCCATTTGAAAACCTTATGACTTACAGCCTCAGCCTACTCAGAAAAATGACCTTGTTACTCGGAATAAAAACAAGCACAAGTCACTTTTTTCTTCAATGTGAATTTTCATTTCTTTTTTTCCATTTTGTCAACAAGACAAATGACAGTGGCGAGTTTGGTTTGGATGAATAACAATTTATTAATCAGTTAGGAATCAACGAGCAATGAATTATTCTTTGGTGTGGCACCAAAAAATAACAATTTAGCTGTCAGGACATTACCAACAAATAACCGATGGATAACGTCAACCAAATACTTAAAGTAGATGCTTTGCATTATGAAGATAAATGCCAAAATGTAGCAGTTGCTGTAAAATAAATTCCTAATGCGAAGGATTATAATTTTTTCTATTTTTTCAAATTTCTAAAAACGTTGAAGTACAAAAATAAATTGGTACCAATTTATTATACCAAAATTAAATGATTTGATCCACTCTGATTTTTATACTTTTGTGCCCACAAAGTCAACCTCTATTATGTGTTTTTATTGCTAAAGTCTAAGGTTTATTGCAAACCAACGCCCTGCCACACAGCTGTAACTCTCAAGTCATCCCATCATCCAAAATTATCCTCAATCAATTAAGTATAATTGATCAATGAATAAAATATGTATGAATTATACTTAGTCAGTGACTAAACAATTAAATTAATTAATAATTATCCAAAATTATGCTTTAAACCATTTTGTAATTTTGAATTATCACCAGGCTTATTGTGTAAATAGACCTGTACAGTTTTATTTTATTTTTATGTTTTTTAACTTCTATCAAGAGCATTCAAAATATTGAAATTCTTCGCAAACACATAGGAATTTTATAATTTGCAGGGTATTTTAATTGAATATTTCTCCAACCGCCTCAAATTTTAGTACACCAGTTTGTTTTATTATTGGTGACGAGCCTCAATAGGTCTAAAGTTAATTTACCCTGCCAGACCTTCCAAATCTTTTGATTGTGCCTTTTTTGGTAATTAATTTTTCTTAGTCTTTCTTCATCGAAGATTGATGACCACTCACCGATGCAGCGAATTCTTTGTTGACATTTTTAGTCGAAATGTGTGTAGTCACAACACAATCAATTCAAGTTACAATGATAATGTTTTGTATTATAAAAGAATGTGTCAAGTAGAATAATTTTATGTTTTTAAGATTTAATTGTAGTTAATTACTTTATTTGAATTGTTCATATTGTATTTTTATTTTGATGTGCCTTAGATGAATCTTATTTATTTCTCTCTCATTTAATAATTTAATTTCTATGATTTTGTATTTGAAATTCGTCAAAATCAGTGAAAAATAATATGAGGGTGTACTGCTAGTGATATTGTACCTCTAATCTGCCAAAAAAAATATTACTCGATCATACCAATACCCATCGACCAAATCTATTTAATGTAACTTTTTTTTGTAACAAGTACTTAACAGTTACAAGTCAACTTGTACTTCCGCCTTTTTATGATTGCGAAATGTTCCCTCTCTGAAAAATTCAGCACTGAGAACTTAATCACAATCTTTTTATTTCATGAGTTTTAGCTCATCAAATACTGTTCATTCTTATTAATTTAACACCTGGGAAGATCCTTCAATAAACTGTTAAATACTTGTTAGTATCTTATTACAAAATATCCAGTGCCTGTGACCTTACATTTCTAATGAGGGTAAAGATTTTCATTTTTATGAAGAACGTTTAAATGTATACCCTCAACAACAAACATGAGATAATTAACCCTCCATAACAAACATGAGGGAAGTATTTTTTATTTTTCTGTAAATAATTATTGTAAATTCTTTTTTACCTTCTTTCGTAAAATGTCAGCTTTTTTTCTATATTGACTCCTTTTGTTGCAATTTGTTTTAAGTTGATCGAACTATACGCTGAGGATGCATAATGGGGGAAATCGATCAAGATCCTTGTAGAGGTCGGCCAGATTGTTTCATCACCAAGCTAAAAAATTGAAGATCTACGATATTTCTCTGAAAGAACTGCATGATTCTTTAGCTTGTTAAGTTTTATGGCAGTGTCTTTGCCAACATTTCCACGAAAAGCAAAGTAACTAACAAAGAACGAAGCCACAACTTCAAATCATCAAGAATAATTTTGAATTATGTTTTTATTTAAGCACCCCCATGAAGACTTCTCAGTTGACAAAAAATATTTGAAAATATATAAAGAAATGTTGATGAGAAACAATAAGGCTGAAAGAATGAGATGAAAGGGACAACCATGTGCTCTTGAGGTACTGAAAATATGAGACCATCAATTTTTTTCCCTTTTTTTTTCTTTCTGGTCTAAGATCTAAACTGGGGGTCTCTGAAAGAAATGGGGAAAGGTTAGTGCCATGAAAATTGCTAAATCAGTTTTGTGAAGACATTAATTGATGGAGCCCATCCCATCCAAATTTCCCCCATTAAGTTTCCTCTCTGAGCTCTTCGTGTTCTCAAGTAGCTATGGCAGTCAACCAGTGAATAACATTTTTGTTGGAAGTTATTATTTTTTGACTGTTGTTGCTTGTATCAGCTCTTGATAAGTCAAACCCACTTTGTTCATTGAATACTCTAATATGTTTATATAATAGCTAGTTAGATTTTCAAATTCTTCATGTGCGATAACATTTTTAAATAGTTATGAGTCAACTTATTTAAATTTTTACATGTACCTATAGACGTAGGAAAAAAGAAAAGTATGTTGAAGTTCATGTGTAATGGAAAAAAATGTGCGCCGTGTGAACATGATATTTTGAGCAGTTTTGAGTGTGATATGTGTTGATGTAGGATGTGAATAATTTTTAATTACTAGTGTTTCATATAATTACAGTGACAATTGCCATTCCCTCCCTTTCAATCATGTTATTCCCTTCAGGTACCTCTGTTTCAGGGTAACTCAAATTTATTTCTCTTAGTCGGTACAGTAATACCTTGATTATCCGATATATTGTGGCAAAGATGTGGGCCGGATACCAAAAACGCTGGATAATTGAAAATTCACGTAAATACATGTAACCACTTGGAATGTGTATGGAGACAACAAGAAACACGAAGGAAACAAAGAAAAAATAAGAAAAATAACGCAAAAACATGCCTCATTGTTGCGCCTGATAAGTGATGAGAGGATAATTGAAGTATTACTATACTCTGTATCTTTTATGAAATCTTAATTTTCAGCAGCCTGAAAGTAAATTATACACGTAATTTATATTGGCTTGTTCTATTTTTCAACTGTATTTCTCTCTTTAAAATTGATTAAACTCTACTGCCAGAGTAAGATCTTAAATATGTCCAGGAAAGGTTGAGATTCATTTGTATTCCGGTGATCAAAATACATTGAATCCTTAATGAAAGCAGAGTGATAGGCTTAACTATTTTAAGTTTTAGTTCGGGAATAAAAGGACAAATCTCTGAGGCTTAATTTTTTCAGTGTCCCAGAGACTGTTTTTACGATCAAACATTTGGTATTGAAGGCATGAACATGATCCAACTGCACAAACCAGTCAAGAGTGAATAACTGCCAATTAACCTGATGCGAATCCTTACTGATATCCTATTTAATGAGGAAATTTGGCTTCTTCACTACCTTGTATCCACTGACCTTTTGAAAAATTGCTTTTACTTGCAATTGTAATTAAAGGAGGGAGTTAAATACATTTGACGAATAAAACATGCCTTTTATCAGGTGTTTCATAACATCACTGTCACTTTCGGTTTACCTCTAATCAAAATAATCGTGAACTTATTTTGTTGGAGTCATCTTTAATTGCAATTTTTTGCAGTTCCCCAAAAATCAGATCGTAATTTTTATTCTAAATTCTGTTATTTATCTGTTGAATTGTCTATGAAACATTACCTAACAAATAAAGTTCTGATTTATGAAGTAAGTTTTATGTTTTCATTGTGCACTTGACCACAGGCCCGTTGCATCTTTATTATTTTAGGTAGGTACCTCCGTTTGTTAGATTCGTACCTGACTCAGTTCTCTTTCGAAGACTGATGTGAACAACAACATTTTTTACTGCAGGTGCGCTAAGTTTCTTCTGTCTTTGGCTCATCAACCAGTAACAAACTAATGACATCAAGATGATGGTGGAACTGCTAAAATGGAGATTTCAGTTTGCATTATTAAAGACTTCCTGTGATATGTACTTTTTTATCCACATTATAAAGTCGTGCACCTCCAAAAGCCACCTCATTCTTTATAAAAACTGCTTACACGGCCGTCCTACTTTGGGTCTTTAAATTTCAATTCCTCATTTCAACAGGAGCAACACATTTGAGGTCTAAATTACTTCATCTTCAGTGGAAAGGTGAGCAGAATTGTCAGAATCGATACGAAAAGGTCAAGAAAGTCAGAGTTCAAGAAAACTAAAAATGGTATGGTGTGTTGTGAGTAGATAGGAATCTACTCATATGATTTAAAGGCAACAATCAGAAGGTGCAATCACCACTCAATGCTAATAGAACTTTAAGGACTCAATGTTATTACGTATTGAGATTTAAAATTAAGTTGAAGATACCAATGATGAGAGAGGAAAGAGAAAAGAATTTATTATTTACCTTTGGCTTTTATATACACACAAGTTAAGAAACATGTATACAAAATACATAACAAGGTACACTCATTGAATTATAAATGAGATAACAATGACAGAGAAAAAATAAATGTGAACAAAATAACAAATTAATTTAAACCCTGATATGAGGAATTAATAATTCAAACAGCATTTTATGTACAATTATAGGTAACGTTCTACCATGCTAATTTACTTCCTAAAATAAAAGGAGTTAATTGATAAAAACCATACTATTACTCAAGTCAAAACATATGCAAAAAAATTCCCAGAAAAAGACAGGAATGATTAGACACGCAGTCTGTCTCTGACAACAGCAGTGAAGCCTATTCACTATTTCGTTCAGAGAAAATGGATTTTTACTGAGGACCCACAGGTAAAGGTAAAGGAACCTATGGCATGTTATTTGGTCTTATATTGAAGATGATAGGATGCTATTGTGAGGGATGCACATTTAGTTCCTTCTCATATCTGGCCTGAGTACATCCCTCACTGAATTAAAGAACTTCAGACTAAGTACACAACTGGCTTCAAAAAGAGAGTGAGTATAGGATGAAACAGGAGAGGCTAACGATGCCAATTTACCATCAAACTAGTATCCAAGGGTGTACACGTGTTACGTCATTTTGAGATCTGAAGAAAAACCAATCTTCAGCATCAATTTTCAAAATAATAATCGCAATTTTCAAGACATGAGGTCTTACCAATGGCATTAAAAGATCAAATAAGAAAAGAACCAAACCTACTTCCACACAAAGGAAATTTTTGATGAGAAAGACAAAACTGTTAATGAATTTTTCTCCAAAAAAATAGTGATTAGGTTCCCTGAAGTTCTTAAGAACAGAAAAAGTAGAGGTATAATATTCATTGGAAGTACTGATCGTTATTATCTATTAAATAGATAGAACTTGATAATTAGGAATCGAAGTTGTGACAAAGCATTAATTTGACCTGAACACTTGATGGAATACTTGCCCTGCTTCTGCCTAAAGAGACTTACACAAAAATGACGGCAACAAAGGAATACCTTATGGAACTGGAGTATCTCCACCACTCACATTTTATGGACATTCCAAAGGCTTTAAAAAGTGTTCAAGCATTTACTTAGTTCATATTGCAGAAAATCTTGCTTGAAGAAATAGGCAGGTGCAAGCAATCACTTCAGGATCTCACAAATCGTACTCAAAAATTATGAATGGAAAATGAACAGTTTTTTGAAATCAGCTTAAACTAGTTGTACCTCACTTAAATCTTAAGCCCTTGCTGAAAAATGAAAACAAAGAATACGAAAAACTGCAAAAAACGAATAAAATTTTGCTATTTAAAAAAAAATGACTGAATTTCACTAAATTGAGAATAATATAAATAGATAATGATAGAACATATGAGCACTAAGTACATAAAATTACATATGTACAAAATTGTTTAACAAATTTACAGTTTTTGAGAAAGTTAGAATTCAAAAATATGAAGAGACAGAAAAAATAATAGGAAGTTTTCGCTTTTATACACTTGAATCAGTCTAAGATATTATTTTTGCAGGCTTATCTATTACCAGCATCAAAATAAAAAATAACTACATGAGGAAACGAAAAGTTCTAAGAAGTAACTGAATAAGATGCCCTATTGGATAGAACTTGCGTCAGAAAAGTAGATAGTTGTTCACTTTCCGTTTGCAAGCCATTGCACTGCAGCCGACCAAGGGCAATCAAGGATAGACCAATTGCAACAGCAATTCCACTTGCTGCCACAGTGCACAGGTACTAAAAACTGATACCTTCCTATGAAGAGATATTGCTGAATTTGTCTATTGCATTCAGAAGTTAACAACAGCAACTTATCTAATGCGAGTTCTAGTTATTTTATAGAAGGTAAATATTTTCAGAAAAAGATTTTTTTATGGGCAAGTTTTTGAATTTTCTTTGTTTGGTTAAGCCAACATAGATATGAAAATGAAGTGCCACTTCTTTCAGAAATAATGAAGTACCTATGAAATTTTATCAAAGCAGTCTACTTAATCTATAGAACACAAAGTTTCACTAACATTTTACCTATTTGCTCTTTGATATAGTTTTGAGGAACCCCAGTACCTTAGAAACACACAAAAATCTAGAAAAACAAGGAAAAAGGAATTTACAATGTACTTGAATGGCAGTCTGGAAAAACGGCTGTAATAAATTTTTGGCGTTTTTGAGCTGCCTAAGTCATGAAACTCATGAAAAGCCTCTCTGCACACGTACTAAAGGTAAAACAAGTTACATATGCTTGTGTAATAGAGCGTGGCATGACATTAGTAACACTAAACCTAAAAAATGGATTAGTCATTTTCGCAGACCGCCATTCATTTGACACAGTGACTTGAACTCAATAAACTACACTCAAGGCTAGGAGCCTTGATGACTCAAAATCATTATGCATTGAAATGCATATTAATTAAGTTCCTCAAAAAAAAAAACCTAAAGCTGTAATCCACAATCTTTCCGTTTTAGATATCAATTTAACTGGTTGTGAGGCAATGTAAACTTGCTACATATTCCCATTTGTGTAAAAAAAATAAAAAAATTTCTACAATATGACTTGGGAGGAAGAAAATCACAGAAATTTGTGGACTAAAATTGAACTTTAACGGACCTAGGATCTAAGGTCCTCAGGAAGCTTTCGGCTTAAAATCCATTAAAAATCTAAGCTTAGTTATTTCATATATTTTGAAGGTTTCTACGGATGTTTCCGAAAATTTAAAAAAAAACATTCCGATGTAAAAAAGTTGCCACTCGACACAATTGGTGAATGACCGATCAACTTTCACTTTTGTCGCAGAGACTTTTTGGCTCTTTAGCTAGTCATAGTATAAAAAATTATCTTTCATTAATTGAATTCAAAAAGTGCAAAATACAAGGCAGTTGTTTACTATGGATGGACACCTGTGCAAATGAATAACATACTTATTGTCCATAATTTAATATTAAATATTCTCCGCAATGAGAAAGTTGATTTTCTTGACTCAGTTGTATATTCTATTTAAAGCCAGTACAAACAGCAGTTCAGAAAACAAGAGTGGACAATTCAAAGATAGTTCAGGTATAATTCATCGAAGAGAGAGAGAGTAATGTTAGAATCAAGATACTCTTTTTCAATTAATAAGAAGAAAATAATCTTCGTAAATTATCTTTTTATGACAGTAAAAGATATCAAATAGTGAAAAGTTCAAAGTTACTAGGCTAGGTAGGTCTATCGTTGAAGTCTTAAAGTAACGTTGTAGTCTGTAAACTGCATAAAAAATTATAAAAACAGAAAAGTAGATTGAAGAGTTAAAAACTAAAAACAATAGAGAAATCAAGCTAATTACTGAGCCCTTTAAGAGGAATAACTGATAACTCAGGTCTGCACAAAGAAAAAACATGCTGGGCATGTGATATAAGATACTCAATTATTTTCTAGCGCTGAGTTTGAAAATGATTTAGGTTTTTCTTCAATACATCAAGATTTTCCTAAAAAAGCAGGCTTTTCCGGGGAAAATTCAGTAAGTAGGAATACTAGTGCATGACAAAGAAAAACTGGGGTCAATTATGGTCTCAACCTTGAGAAATACATGAAAATCACCAATTCGATTCCAGCATTTTTAAAGAAAAAAGAAGAAAAAAACAAATTCAATTTGCAGACCTATATAAATGGCTAATATAGAAAAAAGAGAAAAATTAATTTAATTAATTGACAACCATGGATTTATCCTGAAATCTCCTAGAAAATACCCAGAGACAACATCGGAGTTGTCATGAGGATAGCGGTCAAGTTTTAAAAACTTGGAAAAAAAAAAATAAGAATTAAAGTCAACAAACATTAAGAACCCTTTTTCGGTGTAATTTCCAAAGAAAGTACACCATTTTTGTTTCTATTTATAAAAATAAACAACGAAACAATATAATTTAAACAGTTGAGGGAGCATTCTCATGACTAGAATCATGGATAGGAATATTCATGGACTTATCTGCTTGGCTCTTGGAGCTTGCATCGTTGGATGCATCTGAATCTTCTCCGATAACAGGATAGCCCTTGAAATCCTCTTCTGATTCGTCGTTGTTATCATCACTTGGCGATGCACACACATCCGGAGTAATACTGTCCTTTTCGCTACCTACAGAGGGATTCGTCTCAACTTTAGCATCATCTTTGATTGAACTACCATTGCAGTTGACACTATCTTTACTAGCTCCATTGCATAGTTTCTTATCATTCTCTTTGTCGCAGTTTTCATTGACTGCTTTCACAGCTTCTTCTTCACCAGTGTTGATGTTGACAAAAATTTTTTCCAACTCCTGATTTTCACTTAACTCTTCGTTAACCTCAGGATGGAATCGATTTGAACCATTAGCCACACCCTTATCTTGGAATATCATGACTTTATCATTGGAGTTGGGGTTGTCCGCTGGCTGTGCCCAGAGTTCAATGCGATCGCACTTCATGTAAGCATCTGGCTTCATGCCTTTCATCTGCTGAAAGTGCAATTTGTTATGTTCTTTCATGTAGTTTGTCTGAGGTACCGAGTAATCACAGTGTTTGCAAGCGTACGTTGCACCCTTGATATTTGAATGGCGATTGAGATGATGTCCTACGCCATCTTTACGGATACTACTGTAAGGGCAGTATGGGCAACGAGCCACTGTTTCAGGAGGTGAGCTGGCTGTATTATTTTCTTTGAGCTGCATTAACATGACAGCTTGCTGATCGGCCATGCTCAGTTTTAGAGTCTTACCAGCTCGAACTTTATGATCCTTGCCATCATCGCTTTGCATTTCTGCACTTTCTGAAAGATTGTCACTAATATACTCAGCATCACTCTTATCCAGGGTCCTTTCTGAGTTCCGGCTGGTATCACTTAGATCATGTTTCTTCATGTGCTGCAAGTAATTTGCATAATACTTGACAGAATAGTCGCATCTCTCGCATCTATACCTTTGTTTTGCGCCATGAAGGCTCAAGTGGATTTTGTACTGCTCTCGTTTGTCGAATGCTGAAGGACACTTATGACATTTGTAGCGCTTTTCTCGCATGCGACCATTTTTCAAGTACGTTGGATAAGTGAATTCAGGACTGCCATGCATCAATATTCCAAACTCTGGGTCGATAAATTGAGCAGGAGGCGAACTACACGTACTTGCTGAATCTCCATTCATGTTCCCTTTTTGTGATGCTTCACTTTTCTGTTTAAACAAGTCCGTGCCTGACATTGGGATATGGTTACTGGAAGGTTTACTGAAGAATTTGCCATACTTGTTAGAATACTTTTCTCTAGGTTCCAGATTGTGAATGGCTTCATGTTTGATGAGATTTCCATAGGTTTTGACAGCATAATCACAGCTTCGACATTTATGTGGACTCCCACTGCCATGTAAAGTGTTATGATACTGCAATGCGACACTTTTGAAAAACTTTGCCGGGCATTTCTCACAAGAATAATGCTTTTGGAGTCCTTTAAATTGCTTGGGACTCTGAGCTTTCAATTTTTGATTATTGGCTTCTCCTGAAGCTTGATCGTAACTTCCATCCATTATAATACTCTTGTTTGAGGCGTTGACAACAACCCAGGCATAACTAGCATTAGAAGTGCCATCCAGAATGACAGCTGTTCTAGGCCGAGGATGATGAGGAGAAATTCCGTAAGTTGCGCAAAAGGCACTGGTCCGCTCTTGATAATCGTCCGTGTGCACTTTGTAATGAGCAAGTAAATGAGGATGCTGCCGAGCAGTGTACGAACAAGATTCACACTGATGAGAAAGTTTCAAGGCGTGGAATCTTGAATGAATTTCAAGTTCTTTGACATACAAAAACCTTGCAGGACACAAGGAGCAGAAATGTAACATTTTCCCATCTGCTTCAAGCTCTGGCTTAGCCTCTTCGCTATTATCACCAGTTAGGTCTATAGAGCTCTCAATCTTATTCGACCTATCTTCACTATTATGGCTACTCTGCCGACTAAAATTGCTAATTAAACCATTTGGTAGCTGTAACTTATCAGAGTTAGGATTCAACAGATCTTGATTGAGCATCTTGTTGATTTCTCTAATTTGGACGTCATCACTCTTGGTCGTGTCGACCAAGGCACAAACTTGACCGAAGAGACCTTGGTGCACCTTCGTATGAGAGGATAGAACACCAGCATTATTGCAAACATAGTTGCACTCGGTGCAGTGGTGTGACTGTAGAGGAACTGAGGGTGACCCATTTTCTTTTACCTTCAATTCTCTAGCTCCGTGCATTTTTTCATGCTCCTGAATATTAGATTTTCTAATATTAACATGAGGGCAATGTCGACATTTGAACATTTTTGTTAAGGTTCCTAGTTTAGAGACCCAAACTAGTGGGATTTCATTAAATAATGATGTATCAGTTTTGCTTATGTCTCCTGGAGATTCAAGTACCTCTTCATACTCCTCATAAGGAAGATTTTTCCCGTAGGCTGATTCAGAAACACTTATTCCATGAACTCGCAAGTGTTGATGAAGTAAGTGTCTTCGGGTGACATTGTAAGAACAAATGTTGCACTTGAAGGAGGCTCCACGAGGTCGATGGAACTGTCTATGATACAGGAACTGGCTCTTGCTATTCGACACATATGGGCAGTTGGCACATTTATAACGCTTTGTGATGAGTGATGAGTAGGTTTCATGATTCGGCGAATCCTCCTGCAAAAAAAAAAAATCAAATGACTCACCAAATTAATTCATAAATACTCTTCTACAGATAAAAATAGGGGACTGCAAAGCGGCAATTTTCACTGTCTCCATGATTTAATTGGGCAAGAATATAAAAATGTAATTCAGTGGGAACGAACTACAGCTATGATTTATTTTAGGAGGTATGCATGCCAAAAAATTTGAAAGATGAGATATATCATATGATTTCTTCGCTATGCTAGAGACAATTTTTCAAAAACAGCTGTTATTAATCAATTAATTCTCAAATTATGCTCAACATCCTTGGTCATTAACCCTTTCTGTCATTTGAGGGCTAATAAACATTCATTAAAGGTTCATTAAAGAGGGGAGAAAAAAGTTACCAAAGTTTCCGCCTTTGCGCATGTGCACCATACACGATAACTGACTCAGGTTGTGGATGTAAGATTTGACTATCCTGATCTAGAACTGAACAGGTTAAGCCTGATTCTGAAGAGAAAGTATACCAGTGACGTAAAAGAGATATTTGAAGAGCAAACGGTCCTTGACGGCTCTTATAGATACAAGTCAATAAGAAAATATTATTTTTAATGAGAAAGTTACTTAAACCGAATGCTACGGCTAAAACTGATGGAAACATCTTGTTTACCTCTTCGTCCATACTCCTTGGCGAGGAATCGTTGAACTGACTGTTAGTTTCACACTCATTGCTGTGTGCTTGCTGCAAATGGTCCATTAATTCACTGAAAAAAGCATTGAAAAATACTTTGAGAATGCGTCTCTGAGAAAAATATTGCAATAAAAAATTATGATGAGTACCTGAACTAGGAAAATTGACTATCCCATTACATAGCTCCAGAGAGGAAAATTTTTCGAAAATATTCATTTAGATACCTAATCAGATTTTCTGATCATTTTTTTCAATCTTCATTCAATATTGAATTGTTCATTGGTTTACAAAAACAGGTTACAGGTGGTTCTTACGAATGACACTTGCTTATTTCGACAGAGTTTGACAGGGAGGAACCAAGTCACATCAAGATGGAATCAAGGAAAAAGTTATAAGTCTAATTATTCTCTATAACTCAATGTTAGAGATGAATTTCAATGTCCAATGTTTCAATGTTTTTATTACATTCAGTATATTTTTCTTGACTTCAAATTTCTAACAGGAAAAAACGGGCAGCCCGTTAAGGGTGACTTATTTCCTTTCCATCTCAGATAATGTTTCTGTAAATTCAGTCCATTTTCAAAAGACTATTTTTGTCTGATAGTTTTTTCCATAACTCTGTAAAATAATCGTATAGCTATGTATAGCTATTATATACAAGGCAGTGAAAAACAGGAGCTTGAAAATAATTGAAACTTACTCTTCAGTGACAACATAGAAAGGACAGAAGTAGCATTTGATTGTTGCATTTGGATTCTTTTTGTGTGTTGCTGTGTGAGCTACAATTTCTGCTTCAGAGCTGCAAGAAAATGAGCAGACTCGACAGGCCCATTGACCACCTGAGCAAAAAATAACATAAACATGAGTAAAGACGAGCAATTTTTAAACTGAAAGAAAAATTACAAGGTGAAAAAAAGATAATATAAAGATATTATCTCTTTTTCTAATTTTGATTACAGGAATACATTCTGCTGATCTTGTGGATCACCCCTCCTTTTTTTCAAAGAGATAGGTGATAAATACATCAAGTAGAGCAAGGATTCTTCACGAATAAAAATCCTAGAAAACTAATTTTTCTAAAAATTGATGGGCAGCCTGTCATTTTGAATATAATGAGATTAGCTTTCTTTATCATTGAGGGCATTTGATGAAGGTTATATTGAAAGGCTCCTTTTAGAGATCAACAACTATTTACTTACTCCGCCCAATTGAGGGATAACAAAGAAAGCACCCAAATTCATGATTCCGTTTCATGTTAACCTTTGACTTGTCATGACGCTAAACAAAAAATTCAAAAAACAGCCTGCTGATGTGTAAAATCTAACTGGTCTTTACTTCTATCTCTTAATTAATAGAATAATTAAATAAGTAAATAAAAGAATAAAAGAAAACATAAATGTTATGTGCTCATGAATCAACACTTGCAAATGTTCATTTCTACCTCTCCCTTCACTCATACTGCCAAGTTAAGGAAAAACACAGTATGAAATGTAGTCATTGAGAATACTTTTCTTCAAATTTTTCGGACTTTAACATGAAATATTTAAAAATTTCAAGAGAAAATACCAATGCATAAATTTCTTCAAAAATAAGTCTTTTTCGGAGGAAATGTGGGAACATTTGAATGTTCAAACAGCATTTACTCTTAGCCCAGCAGGACAGTCATAAGCTGATTTATTAATATTATCATATATCAGACTCACTTTTTGGTATTTAAAGAACAATTTTCTCAGGTTGAAAAGAAAAAACAAACAAGCTTACTTTTGGAGATATTTTCGGGTGAGTCATTTGCAATTTTACTGTTTTCTTTTCTTGAAATTGTAATTTCAGGTGGCTTTGGTTCTTGATTTGCCTGTAAAAAGAGGAAAACTTTAAATTACTAACTTAGGTACTTCTCAGGATGCAAAGTGAAATATTTCAGAATTACTCACTGTCAGTAAAGAAGTATGAAGGTGCAGAAAACCGGACTCATTGACGTAGAAAGTCCTAACTTGCAGAGAGCACATATTTTTCAGACTTACATACTTAATGGAAAAAGGAGTTTAATAGGAGAAAACTAGAGTAGTGATACTCCAATTGTCCGATGCTGCAGTCAAAACTGGGTGTTTGGTTAAGAAAAGTTGGCAACTTGACATAGAGCAGTTACTAAGGCGATTGAAAATATGTAATTCGTTTTTTTTTGTTTATGAAATAACTATTTTTTACATTTACAATGGAAAATTTGCCAAGTTTCAGCTTTTTGGTTCAGAACCTAAAATGGCATGTTTCCAATCTTTTTTTAGTTGTTTCAATTATTTTACTTTTTTGATGGCCGACGCAGCCCTTGCCACAAATCGTCGAATTGAGGGATTACCGTAAATCAGTCGCACTCTCAGGTCTTTGAAAAATCTTACAGCATTACTAACTGCTGAATTCACTGTCAGTCAAGAGATTTTGAACACCAGGAAAGGTGCCCATCCCTCCTTTCTCAGCACATTTGCATACACAGGAAAGTATACTCATCAGCGCTGCACTAGGACAACTATATATACGTAGAGGAGTTAACTTGCACTTTCACTGAGTAATTGTTCTGTTCATGTTTGTCCAATATACCTGTAGCGCGATGAATATTGTTCAGAAATCATTCAAGAGTAATCTGTTGCCCTCCCGGTTGCTCGTACTGCTCAGAGCAAAGGGCAAAAAAAAGTTAGTCTGCGAATAGGTCTGATAAATTATTACTGTCTCATTTATAAAAATAAAGAGCAGTCATTGAAGCAACAGTGAGAGCCTTCTTGGAAATGGTTCTTATTGAACTTAAAGTGCAAGAAGTGTTATCGAACACATTAATTAATCATACCATTTTATTAGGAGAAAAATTGTTCTCTTGGTGAGAAGGTACAGCTGTTTTCCGGGCAGTTGATTGAGAAGCATTAGAAGTCTTAACATTTCGCTCCACTTCAGCTTGTTTATAGTGTTCCTTGACATGGGCTAGTACGACAGTGCGATCACTGTCCCTGCAAAATAAAAAGAGCCGGTCGTTTTTGAAAATATTCTCCGATTAGATTCTACAACAAGAACTATAAAAAAAATACTGCAATATTTGTATATTAATATACTGCAAATACTTTTAATTCTTCAATATTTATGCAAGAATTTGCATTTAAAAATGTGACACTGCCACTGTGTCAGATTGAAACAGGTGTTTGTTTCAGACTGATTTGATGATGTTGCACTGCATGCTGTTATCATTCAGAGGAATTTTCTTTCTTTTTGGCTGTCATTTCATTCAACCTTAGCTAAGTAAGGGGCATAGCATCTGCATAATTTACATGGTTGGTATGGGAGAGAAACCTCTCTTTATTGTTGCTACACAATGGTGGAAAATCAGCTCTTTTTTCTCTTTAAAGCAATGTTAAATATCCACATTTCCTTGCATAAACTGGGAACCATGGCTCTCCACAATAATGAATTAAGTGTAGCGACAGATCTACAGGTAAATGCGCGTACAGCTGCTGAAATAATTTGACATTCCTTGAGTGATTTTAGAATGACTGATTAGTGACTGACAAATAATATGTTGTGGCTTTGAGATTACACAATTAAAAAATTTAATTTACCTGAATAAGCATTTTTTACACTTCCACATTGTTTTCTTGTTTTCTGGACTAGATTTCTTCTTTGGCGGTTCTGAATCAGATGGCTCTGCGCTTGGCGGCCGTTTAACAGCTGCAGCAGGCACAGCTGATTTACGAGCTGTTTGCTGGGAACTAGGTACAGCATTTGACGAAGGTTTCGGTGACTGAGAGTTAGCACCTCCACTAGGTATGGCTTTCGTTCTCCGCCCTGTTCCACTGCTTTCAGCTGATGGCTCATGAACACGGATCAATGTGAGGTATCTGTTATATTTGGAGTAATTTCGTCGTCCTGTTTCATCAGTCATCAAAACTCTAGCCTTGACATGGTTCGGGTCACGAGCAGTTTTTAGACGAATGTGCTTGGTGATGTCCCATCTCCAGTTTGATCTGTAGGAGCATAGTGAACACTCAAATGGCTTCTTATTCAGATGACCTACGATATGTACATGGAATCTTGAAGCTGTTGCTGCCCAGAATGTACAGTGAGGACACTTGTATGCCTGCAATCAAACAAAATAAATTCACATTACGGGCACTGCTTTGATTTGGAACAAAACCATGTTCTGCTAATTACATAATAGACGCTAATAGTAGCGTTGTCATCATAAGGATTCTCCTTTATATTGAATCGGATCCAAACAATAACATTTGCATAACCTCTTTTAATGCTACCAAAGTGAATAAATCGTTAAGTAAGTATCACTTTTCTTTGACGCGGCACTAATATATAGCATCTATAGTATTCGGTATCTTGATTTGGAGCAAATATACATGAAAGTCTCCCTATTAGATGAACAAAGAGCAAGTGGTGTATGATCATCACAGAACCTTTAAATGCTCAAAATGAAGATAAACCACCATCATCTGATGTTTACGGCATTGCAAAAAGGCCATCGCTGAACTTCTCTTGATGGACCAAACAGTGATTATGACTAAGTTGTAACATTACGAAGAAGGGAAGGTGTTCAGCCTTCTAAGTTTTGCTATCAAAACTAAAATAGTCAGAGTATGTGGCAGCAACATTATTGAGGGGGTTCAGGACAGCCACGGCATGGCCTACCAAGTGGGTTTTCCCCTAGTAGAGCCGGTGGCTGAATTCTTGAAAATATGTCGGGCCAACTTGACAAGACAAGCCCTGTATTAACCATGCAACATATCGCATTTCAATATCTTATCAGGCTGTTTTAAACTCTCAAAAGTCGGTCCGCTGAACTGAAATCCATTGACTTATTTACAGATTAAAAGTTACCCGAAGAAAGCATAGAATGTCTGCTCACCTTTCTAAGATGGCCATCAGTATCATTTGATTCTGAGATTGGTAAATACCCATGAGTAGCTTCTGACATTGTAAATAATCCAAAATGAAGGAAAACTGTGCAAAACAGTAATTATATCCAACTTGTAAAAATAGGACATGCTGATGGTGCTGGAGTCATGTTCAATGAGAGCATCCTTGCACTCATTTCACGAATATACTCGGTTAAACATTAATACTCGAAAAAAGAAACGCCCTAGCTTATGCACAAAAACATGAGATCAGACTTGAAATGGCAGTTGTCCTTCACAAGCAAACACAATACTCAATTAGTTATTTTAACTACACAGCAAGTCGCCATAAAATATGTGGGATGGTGTGGACTTATCAGCGGCAACAATAACAACTTATCAACACCAGCCTGACGAAAACAAAACAGTCAAAAATCCACGAATGCATTAGCATTACANGGGGGGGGGGGGGGGGGGGGGGGTAAAGGAATTTTGTGGTTGACGTCCACCGCCAATAGTGAAAGTGTGACCGGTTTCAAGTCAGGGGCCGGGTAGGCAATTCGGATTACACATATGTGTGTATTTTAGATGAATGATGGTAATGAACATACGAGGGTAGAGGAACATACCAGGTTCTTTTAAAAGAGGACATGACTCTCGTTAATTTTCTGTCGAAAGCTAATAGACCCTTATTTTACAAAAATATTGTCGTTTCCTTGGAGACCGTTCTTTCATAAGAAGACTATTAAAATACGATCCGGTTAAGTGTCAGCTGTACCTATCGCCTTATCGCCTGTACCCATCGCCTTATCGCCTGTGTTGGGGCCTTAAAAGCGACGAAGGGGCCCCAAGAAATCTAAACTGCATGCAACATTCAGATTTATCGACGCGGTTTGGGAGACATTAGAAGAAGGGAAGAGGCCCCACGGTCTCAAAATGAAAGCATTCAATGGTGCCTAAGTAGGTATGTGCGGTTCCTGACAGGGCCGGATTAAGGGGGTGGCCACATGGGCCGCGGCCCATGGCGGCAAAATTTAAGGGGCGGCAAAATTTAAGGGGCGGCAAATTTTGCAATCTTTTTGAATGTAGGTATCAAAAAAAGAGAGAAAAAATCGGATTCAGAAAATAAATTATAAACGAGAAAAGGCGACAAAATCTCTCATCTCCTGAGAGTAAAAGTATAGTAATTTCTAATTTTGTCGTCTTTCGGAGATTCAAGAGACAGCACCTTTAATTAGTCGAGTAAAGAGGGAAACCATAGACGCAATTTGACCTGGAACGGAGCGGCGCGGCGGTCGGCATGAAACACATAGCGCCTACAAGACTGCATGAATACTTCACGCATTGCGTAAAACACACTGCGGTCAGCAGCGGTCGGCGTGAAACGCATAGCGCCTACAAGACTGCATGAATACCTTCCGCATTGCTCCAACACAGTGCGGTCGGCACGACGGTGGAAGTTAAAATCATTGAACCACATTTATGTTTGTTCTTTTATAATTTTTTCGTTCATTTCTTATGAATGGAAGGCCTTGTCCACACAGAGATAGGTTTACGAAAATTATCTTTCGCGCGAAGTTCTGTGAACTTATGCTAGTAATGCTGACAGGGTTTTCCCAAAAAATGTGTTCAACACGAGTAAATGCGTCTTATACACCCCTCCCCTGCTGGCACGTTCACTTGATGGTTTTTATTGAGTTACAAAACGAATGAGAAGGGGGCGGCAAGGTACAGGCGGCAAGTAGGTGAATCCGGCCCTGATGGTTGGGATTGTGATACTTTTTTTCCATGAACTGGTTGGAGCAAGTTAGAAACAATGTGAGTGAAATATTAAGCCGCTGCAGTTATGGACAAACCGTGCGATCGTCGCCAAAATGCTGCGAGCAACTCTTACTGATTCCCAACCGCGCATATTGCCTATCGAGATATTGAAGGGGAACTGGTCGAGGCGTGTGACTGTGTGAGAAACAGTGTGAGTGGAGTATAAATCCACTACAAAGCCAAAGCATGGAGAACTGATTGAGGTGCAAATCCATTTCCGGCTTTATAAATGTACATAATATGATTAAAATTCCTATCGGGGTTTCAGAATTTGTTTTTGCTGCTTGAGGTTTGGTACCTATCGATTTGATATTGCAGATAGTTTTCGGATTGTAGGCAAAATAGTTCGAGTGTGTTCCAGAATGATAATTGTGACGCGAGCCGACTCGTTAGGACTTCTGAACTCTAGGATGCCTACGTAAATATGTATAAGTGGAGTAACAGGAAACGCTTCGAAAGTCGGGCCGAGGGAAAAGGCACGACGACAAGGATAAGTGCGAAGTTGCTGAGACCAAGACCTTACATTTAAATTTCTAATGCATCTCGTCAAAACCTACCGTTAGATGAAAAAGCTCCATGTACGTCATCGAATGAGTCCATATACCTCTGGTAATATAGAAAAATCTTTCAAATCTATAGAATCGATACATGATAAAAAAAAATATTCATACTGCTCGGAGAAATATTAATAAAAACTCGCAACTAGCAACCAGTGGGATAGTGATGCAGGCAAGCTGTACATCGACGGTGTAAGTCCGCAATCTCCCCGCATCTCGGTTTGCGACGTCGCTGACTTCCTGTCATACTTTATTTTGTAAATGAAAAACTACTCACCGGCAATTCTTAAAAACTGCCGTGATTTTTCTTCTCGATGCCGAGAAAATTCTGTGAGAACTTCAAGGAATGTTGTCGATTTGTTCTTTTTTAAAAAAATAAAATAGGAGCAGAGATTTTCAAACATTTTAAACGAGAAGCGTGGTTGCGGACTTACGCCGTCGACATGCAAGGAGAGCAAGACAGAAAAACACCATCATAGCGCGTGATTCAGCGTTTTGATATTAAAACTATGTGTGAAAATAAATGAATTCAAAATGAACTAAATGCATAGGCTTCTCGCGCTCCACAGTTCGTTTTGATTTTTTTCATTTACCAACACATAGTTTGTTTCTTTGTTTATTTTTTTATTTTTATTTTTTAGTTTTTTAAGCATAAGCACGTTCGAATAAGGGTGTAATTACATCTTCTAATAAGTAAACCCAGGGCCCGATTTTTTCCAGTCCTGGACGAGCCATGTCGAGCCACGTGCCGTAATCAGACTGTCTATTTAGTCGAGTAGAGTACCTAGCTATTCTTCTCGAGTGTGCATATTCAAGCAAGCCCAAATTGGCTTCCGAGTCTATTAAAGATGAAAAACTGCCATTTGAGAGCCGGTGTCAAGGAGACGGAGAGAGAAGACAATCAAAGTTAAAGATTTTCAACACTACCGCAGAGGCGGTCCAGCGCTTGGCAACACTGGTTTCCTCCAGTTAAACCCGTGTTGAATAATCGATTCTCGTTCAAGCACCTGGCCCCCTAAGAATCGATTCATTTTCATAGGTTTAAATGGGAGAAAACAGTGTTGCCAACCTGCTGGATCCACCTCGGCACTACCGACGAGCCAACATATGTAGCTCCTGCGTTCACTAAATATGCAGACACAGGTAACCATTTAATTTAAGTGGGCATATATTATCGATAGAGATGGGTGGGCAATTAAGTAATTTGAGTTTTTAGGCAGCTAACTGACACAAAAAGATCGCGATTGCTCGTACACCAGTGGACAACTTTCGATGGCCAGTAACAGTTAATGTGATTCCTGCCGATGATAGGGGATGGAGGGAGGGCGTGACGTGCCACTGTTTTCGCTTAATCTTACTCTTTACTACTGTGTCTACTTATTTCGACGGTTGTCGGAAATGGGGGGGGGGGTGCCGGTGATCAGTAAGGATGAATCCTGTCTCACTCGTGGGTGAACTAGGGGTGTGATGGGCCCTATGGGACCCCACTCCCCAAAATCTTCTCGACCCCTTCCAGAAAATTTGAAAAACTAAATGACATTTCTGAAAACTTTGAAATTTTATTTTAACCATAATTCGGTCAGCGGCTCAAAATTACTTAAACGACGTATTTTCAAAATTCAAAAATTTTCAAGGGTGGACCCACAAAGGCAGGCCCTCTTTGAAGCTGTGGGCTTTGAAGATCCAATGCGGCGATGATTGTGCCGTTATTTGCACAATATTTGCAAAAAAATGAATTACCTAACAACCAAATTATTTTCACGGGAAAATGAATACAAATTTCATGTACCTTTTTTTTGGAACAATTCATAGGGACCAGGGTCGCAGGGACAGTCAGTTAGTATATACGGCTGTACTTTTGCACGTGCACAAGCTTAACAGCATTTTGCAAGCCTCACACGTCTTTTTATCGGAGATGTCCTGCATTATCAAATTTGGATTGGCTACTGCCCGTTGAATTCGACCCGAGTTTCAACATATGGTGTAAGAGATGATAGATGTTGCCTAGTCGGACAGATTTCATTAACTCATTAATCCTTCAAGAACCAAAGGAAAAATGTTGCAAGACGTTAACGCTGGATGAGCATTCAACGAGATTTACCCCTGAGAGGAATAGAAAGAAAAATCGAAGACTCACCCTCTTGATGTTGAGCTCGGCGTTGGGGCTGATATCGGCATCTTGCGCAGGAACACTCAAGCCGTGGCAGCCAGATTTGGACTTGTAGGTGACGGAGCCGATTCCAGGGGCGGTTTCCACCCCAACGTCTTGAACATTTCCCTCACCATCACGCGGCTCGTCTCCTTCTTCTCCTCCCTCCTCGCCCTCTCCTTCAGCTTCACCATCACAGTCTCCTTCCGGGATGTCTTCATCTTCCTCCTCTTCACCCTCAGGACCCTCGTCGTCGAAGTCTCCGAGATCGCCCTCCTCAGGGATCGGTTCCTGTTGACTGGCCTCTTCTGGGACCTGCGGCTCCGGTCGATTCCAGACGAAGACCTTGTTCTCCATCGGATGCGGCTCGTCCGACGTGGACTCCGCCTTCTCGGAGGGGTCGTCGTCCATGTCCATCTCGTCCAACTTCCCTTCCTCCTCGCCCTCGGGCTCTTCGTCCTCTTTCTCGTCGAGGAGCTTCTTTCGGGCCTCCGTGCAGGACTTGAGGTGCTGAATGAGATCCAAGCTGGTCTTGCACCTTTGCCGACAGTGCTGACACCTCGTCGAGAACAGCTCGTTCCCGTTCGGCACCGACAGCGTGCTGCTCGTCGAGCTGTTGTCGTTCTGCTCCTGGCAGTTCTTGTGGAGCTTCTGGTGCCGCACCAGCTCCGACAGACATTTGGACTCGTGGCCGCAGAACTGACAGATCATGCTGTCTCCACCTGCGTCGACCATAAGTTTCTCCTTCAACGTGTCGAAGAACGACATACCTCCTTTCTTGGAGACCTCTTTGGATCCCGTTTTGAATGGACTGTCGAGCGTCGTCTTGCGCGGAGTTTGCGCTTCTGGGTCCTTGGCGTCAACCTCGTGGAACAAGGATGCGAAGTCCTTGAGGGCGCTTGTCGATTGGGCGCAGAAATTATTCAGGTCTTGGTCCAGCATGAAGGCGGATTCTGATCTCTTAGGTGTGGTTTCTCGGCTACCTTTCGTCGACGAGGCATTATGGGGAGAAGTGTTGGCGCTCTGGACCGAAGGGATCTTGAGGACCGTGAGGCTGGAGCCAACGGCGGGTTTATTTTGGATGGGGATGAGGTTCGGGATGGGTCTGGGTGGTGCTTTCTTCTTGGCACCCTCCGAGTGCATCGACTGCTCGTGTTTGATTATCTCGGCCTCCCATGAGGTGGAGAAGGGACAAGCGCGACACAGGAATTTTGGCGAGTTGTCCCCCTTGGTAACTACCGTTTCCGAGCCTGGAAAGCCGACTTTCGACTCCCCGGGCCTCCTCACCGCGAGTTCCTTACTACTATCGTTGAAGTTATTTACAATACAGTTGTTATTCAGGTTACTATTGCTACGCTCACTAAGGTTTATCAGTCTACCATTAAGGTTTTCAGTACGGTTATCGAGTTGAGATCTTCTGGTTGCGTCGAATGGTTTTGGGTCCTGAAACAGAAAAAATGAAAATGGTCATCAGATGAGATTCCGAATAGAAATAAAACATTCTGAACAATACCTAGTTAATGGAGGGTTGCTATAAAAGAGGTCATCATTGGATTACAGTTACCTGTCTCTTAATTTCATTTCTAAAGTCCGTGCGGCCGGGCGGGCTTGCACTTATCGTCGACTACCAAGGCAGGGATGCTAATCGAGGAGACAAGGTCCCCTTGCACTTAAAGTTTGAATTTTGTATAAGGATAATGTTGCTAAAATCCGTTTTCGAGATTTATTGAAATTCGGCCCATACCTCGACGCAAATTTCTCTGCAACGTTTGGTCCCTCCTCTTGAAATTCGACTTAAATGGCGCCCGCCCATCGGCTACATTTACATTCTCAAAAATGAGCCTCAGAATCACATTATTTCGTCTCAAAATTGGACGTATTTCTGTAAAACGGAACTATGTGCATTAGGATGTGAGCCCTGTTATGCATACCTTCTTATGGGTGTCAAGGCTCATGTCTTAATGCACATAGTTCCGCTTTACAGAAATACGTCCGATTGAGGGAATGATGAGGTATGGAAGAGGCGCGAAACTACAAATTTCAAGTAATGGCAAAAGTCGATGAAATTAGAATATTTTTCTTGCCCGCGCGCTTCTTCCATTGATCATAATTATTACATTCGGATTTCAACCAATCAAAAGTTCCGCTAGAAATGTGCTGTGTGTAATTGAGTCTCCTAATAAATCGATGAGCTCCTGAATTGCTACATGTTGCGTCAAATTCAAGAATTTTCTGAAAAATATACTCCCGATAGGCGATTGTTTTTTACATTTCTTTCTTTCTTCTTTTTTCTTCAAACCCGTGGGACCACACAACTTCATCACGTTACACGATGAATACTTTCATTAAAACTAGCACTTTTAAATGCTGCGATACTTAAACGCGATCAAAAGCAGAGGGGGAAGCTGAACTGAATTTACGGAGGGGAAAATGATCTTTGCGACAGAAATATCAAAATGTTTGGATTACAGTTTGACAGCAAAAACAAAGTATAGTATACTCGAATAGTATGCAGGTTCAGTTTTTAATTCAAGGATTTTGAGGGGAAAATACGTATACGCGAACACAAAACCTCAGATAAATCGTCCATTTCTCCTAAAGACACTTACATAAACCCTCCAGGTTCGCAGAGAAACACACGTCAAACCGTGATGGTTTTCAGCGACGAACACACCACCGTTATTATTTAATCAGTTTTCCTTTCTTTTTCATTCATGAATCGATGATGTACGAAGTGTCACCCTCCGGCCGAAATATCACAAGCGCCATGCCACGTTTCAAAATTTCTGTCATTTTATTTTTTCACAGAGAAATTGTTCAACGAAGCTCTCCGATAGTTTTACCGAATTTTCTTTGAGTTGCCGATAAAATTCAGTGAAATTTTCAAACAGATTCAATCAACAATTTCTCCATAAAAAAATGAAATAGCGGCAGAAATTTTGAAACGTCTCAGGGCGCTTGTGATACTTTGGACGGAAAGGTGACGAAATTACAATAATTTAGTCGACTTCAATTATTGCTGAAATGAAACCATGGTGTAATCAGACGACTTATTAGGAAGAACGGATAATTTGGATAATTCTTTTCAGAAGTATGAAACTTCAAGTATTTTAAACATTTCAGTTTGGCGATCGGACCAATTTCATTCTTTTTCGGTAATTTAAGTACTGGTTGAGGATGAAGCCACAATTGGACTACATTTTGCAGTTAGGAACTAAAAATTCAGTCCCGGTTTAAAACAACGTATGTGCCATTAGTTTCCCTATGCACACAAGTATTTGTTCAGATGAGCCAGCATTTGTAGTTCCAAATTGCAAAATGCAGTCCAATTTTGTGACGAGTTCAGATGGAATGCTGACTCCCAGGTCTGATTCAGTGCTACTCCGTTGCATTGCGTGCAATGGTTTATAAGCCAAGCACTTAAAGGTCGACCCGATCCAAGCAACTAGGTATGATTCGCAAGAGCAAAAGCTGCCCTGTGTCGATTTCCTTCGATCGACAAGATGAATATGGGCCTACTCGTGGTTGGCGAGACGACTCCGGCTTCGACGCGGCGCGATGACCACGACATAGAATAAGCCAAGAGCAAGAGGACGTCTCCTCTGGGTCGGGCCAAAATCTCGTTATACTTAATAGGTCACGAGGTGGCGCGGTATCGGCAGTGGCGATGATGGCACGGGCAGCAAGTTGGAGAAAATGAGGCGGCAAGTATACTCAAGGACGGATGGTTTATCTACCGAGTCAATTAAAGGCGGTCAAGACCACATGACAAGACGTTCAACTCGAGAAGTCATTTCATATAGACACGCTCAACTGGACGGATGACAGCCCAAGACGAGTCGGAGGAATCTGACGCGCGAGTTCAGCGGCGCGAATAATTTTGGAGCACAGAGTAAACTAAGAGGTCTACTTTCACTTATTTTAGCGTGGATATAGTAAGGGTGTATAAATACTAACTTTGGAATCCCTTAACTCCTTGGTTTCGATTTCCTTCCTCAGTGGAGGGAGTGACGTGATGTTGAAAATTTCTAGTCTCTAGTTCGGTCCTAGTTGCTCCCTACCACAACTACTCTTCAATTTTGTACATTCTGCTCAAAATAACGGAATATTTTACCATAAACCT